AGTTGTATATCTTCCAGTGTTGGTAGACTACAATGATATTGTGTTAACTGAATTGAACTGGCTGATTAAGCATGATCTTCGAAGTACAGAAGCAGAATATTTGTACTAGGAATAGTATTAACTTTTGCATTGTCTGTTTTACCAATTCGGTTACTCCCCACTGATTTGTCAGCATGGATAATTAAGATGCAAAGTTCTTTAGTGAGGAAGACACTGCTTATTGCAGGAATCCTGGCAATACACTATGTTCATGTAATAGCCTGTTACACAAGTAGTTGCTTTTTCCCCAGGTGGTGGCAATGAAAAAAAGACAAAATTGGAGGCTGTGGGAGATGAAAGCTCCATTTCTTCAGTGTCTGGTTTCTAGAGACATGACAAGGTTTGGACAATTGCTTGAGAAGGTCCCAGCAGCCCACCTTGGATATAAGCCCCCCAAAACCAAACACCAGGCATCAAGGAAATAGGCTGCTTGGAATTGACAGTCCCCTTGCTCCAATGGGTGGCTTTGTCTTCCTTTCTTTGCTATGGCTTCACCAGTGACCTTTTCCTTTTTACTACATCCATTGGTGTAGTTATGCCAAAGAAGAATCCAAGAGAATCGCAGTCAGAGCATGTGATTACTCTCAGAGAGTCCTCATATGGATGTACCCTCCAACTGATATTCAGAAGGTAGTCATACAGTCACTAAGAGAAACTTCCAAATGGGTTGTTTTTGGAACAGCTGTAAAATGTCTGTGCACACATGTGAAAACTCTTCATCATACTGTTTGTTTACTTGTTTGATAATGGTATATCTCAAATAGGTGAAGGCATTGGATGCTCCCCCTTGCCTTGTGGCCCCTTCTTGCAAGAGGGCTAACATACATCAACAAAGATTACGTCCATCTGGCTTGCCTGAAAACAGAAATTCCCTAAACCTGTTTGTACAAAATCTGCCCCAACTTGCTCATAGCCTTTTTGTAGCCTCTCTCGTCTCGGCAGGCTGGGATTCCCCTTCATTGGCATCACTCATCATTCAAATCCCACCTCACTGTTTTTTTGGCTACACGAGAGATCGTGTTCCCCATATTAACAGGCTCTTCCATGACACTAAGTTGACAAGGATCACTTTTAATTTATCACCACCTTGCTGGTTCATGTGTAAAATTAGTCTTTCACCTCCAGTAATATTTTTCTTTCCTCCCCCATTTACATTGTGTGTGTTTGCTTTTCTGCCTGTCTCTCCTGAATGCCAGAGAGTTGACTAATAAATGATTCTCTATCCATCTCCCCATCAAGGTAATGGCAACACAGAATCATTTTCTCTAAATTCACAAATGTCAATATTATCACATTTACTGCTGTGACTCAACCTGTCTTGGGACTAGGCTATCATTCTATACCAGGGAGCAAGCCCACTTTACTGTTCCTCCTGCAAAGTTGTGAACCTGCAAGTGAGCCTAATACATGCCTAGGTACATGCCAACACCAAACATCTATAAGAGGATATGAATCCACTCTTTTGTGACAGAGAATATCACAGAGACTATGGATTTGGGAATATGACATGGCCAGGCTGACTGAGAGAATTCTGTGAATAGTAATTTCTCCAGGTTCTGGACTGTACTTAGTATAATGCAGGTTGTGAAGAGGATCATTCTTCATCTGTCTCTGAAAGGATTCCAGAGACCTAATGTGTTGCTGGAAATAATGTTTGAAATCTATGGACTATTTTTCCCCTCTGGTCATTTTCAAGCCCATTTTATCCACCCCTTCACAGGTACATCTATTCCTCTTGCTAATCTCTGTGTTTTATCCTTTCCTTTGACCTCATCCACTGCACTGCTGTTATGGTTCATCCTATTGTTCTTTCCCTGGTTCTCTATTGATATGCCATCAGCAACCAATCCCCTTACCTTTCAATAGTTATTTTTAATTTGAATATTCTTAAGTGTAAAAAGTAATTTCTTTTAAATGTGGAATATTTTAAAAGTCCTATTGTCAATGCCAGTATAACCCATTATCCCCTAATGTACTTTTGGGAGGGGCATTGACTACAGAGAGATGGGGGCTTACAACCAGTTGGTTTCATTGCCCTCTCTTCTTATCCCATTAGTGATATAGTGAAAGAGAGGGTTCTAAACGCATTGGAAGTCAGCAGATACTTTGACTCAAGAAGCTAAATTAGTAATTCAGAGTACTTGAACTATGGAATATTAAATGAAGGAAAGGGAAATCTACAAGTAGTAGCACCTTTGAGACTTATGTATTTTAACAGAAGTTTCCATAACTCTTCTGTCCACAGAGGTTTCAATCCAAGCATCTGGTGAAGTGAAATGCAGTCCACATAAACTTGAGCTTTTTGTTTTTTCTATGAAGGGGCTGCTAAATCCGTCTTTCTTTTTTCTTTGTCTTTTTGAACAGGTTGGGGCTGAATCTACACTGCCATATAAATTAGTATCTGATCCCAGATTATCTCCTTTGAACTGGATTACATGGCAATGTAGACTCATATAATCCAGTTCAAATCAGATGATCTGGGATCAGATACTTGATTTTATGACAGTGTAGATCCAGCCTAATAAGGCTATGTGCTTGAGGAATATTAAAATGCTCTGTATAGTGGTTCCCAACCTTTTTTTGACCAGGGAACCACTTTGATAAGGGACCACTCTCCAACATGAGTACCAAAAGGATTACGAATAAGTTTTTGGTCAACTTTAGATTCGGTTTGGTTATTTGGGGGTACTGATTCAGAAAATTGCATTGAATAGACCACACCAACTCTAATTTCTGATACAGCATATGCCATCCAGTAGTTCCCATCTGCTCACCCACAGAAAACCAGATTTAATCATCCAGGCTTGATGTGGTCCATCCAATGCAATTTTCTGAATCAGCACCCCAAATAATCCCAGAAACAGGCCTAAAAACGAAGACACCATTTTTTTTTTGGTTGGGCTGTGTTATTATCCATGGATTTTGTTAACGCTTGTGTAAAACAAAAAAAGAAGAAGGGGTGTGAGCTGAGGTGGAAAAAAAATTAAAAAGCGGAGCGTGAGACCCAAAAAACTGTCCCTAACAGCTTTAACAACAACAACAATAACTTTGGCCAATTAAACAGGGTCTTACAAAGGGCTGCTTTCCTCAGAGCTGTGGCCCATATTTTAGCTGTTGCAGCCCACCTGTTGGGAACCACTGGCTTAGAAAAATAAAAATGGAGGAGGATGGGGATTAATCTACTGGAACCGCTGGGCAACGTGTGGCCCATAGATTGCGTATATGGTTCAAGGCTGTTTTTGTGAATCCCAAGCCACCCCCAAAAGTACCCAAAATAAATATTTGTGACTCAAAAGCCCTTTAAAACCAATCAAGATATTTGCTTAACAGGACCATTCAGATTTTCATCCTGAAAAGTGTTTACAATTAGCATTGTGATTTGTACTGAATATTGGCAGTACGGCAGCAGGGATGTAGCCTAAGGCGTTTTGTGTGTGTGTCTCTGCAAACATTTTCTGCAAATTCCAAAGTTGTCTGCTTTGTGTCCTAATTAACAAAAATATCCTGGACCTGAGCATTTAAGTTTGGGAGGGCAAAAGTTATACACTACGAAACCAAAACACTTTCCTCCTTACATTATATTTCCTTCCCAGTTGTATTAACATCAATGTTTGGCCTGGTTGGTTGTTGAATAGTACAATGGGGAAGATTGCAGGAGGATGCAAGTCTTTTGTTCTAGGAAGGGGTCAGGGCCATAGCCGGGGTATAGGGTGGGGGGTTAAGGGTTCAACCCCCCTCCCCAAATGTGTCAGGTTAAAAAACCTGGTTTACTCATGAATGTTAAATGGTCAACCAATTCATGAGGAAATCAGGGTATTTTTTTAATTTGACACATTTCTGGGATGGGTTAAAAACCCTTAACACCCCCCCCCCCCCCCCCCGTGGCAATGGACCTGGAAGGGATATATTTAGCTGTGTGTTCCCTTTTGCTTCCCTGAAATATCAAATTTGTCTAGCCCTAGCTTTGGAGGGCCAAAATACGGCAACATTCTTCATCTTTTGGAGGCACGGTAGGTGTACAGAAGCCTATTACTATGGAAATTGCTTCAGTGTATAAATTAGATGAGACAGAAAAAGGAAAATGTTAATTGGCCAATTTACTACCTGAGACCCTAACAGTTTATATTAGATTGGATGAGTTATTATGTGTAAAGGAATCCATTTTGTGAGGTTTGAAAACATTCATCCCTACATATACTATCTGAAGAGGGTTTTTAGTTTCAAGAAATCATAGCTTTTCTCTATGTTTTTATATTGTTATGTTGACTGTTTTTAATCACACTTTTATGAATGCATGGCATCAAATCGTGCCAATCTGTAACCTGCCTTGAGTCACCGTATGGTTGAGAAAGGCGGGCTATAAATGTTGTAAATAAATAAATAATAAATAAATACGGGAATGAAATGGAAGGATTCTAAAAGTTTTTGTCTTCTACTTCACTTCTGCACACTGGAAGACCAAATTCAAACATTTGTTTAAACTATTCTTTATTTATTTAAAACTTTTATATCCCGATCTTCTCTACCTCCGTAGAGGGACTCAGACCGGCTAGGGGTGTTGAATCATACAGCATTCCAGTTGTTGTTGGACCATTGCTAAGAGCAGCCTTAGACAATGCTTGGAGTTGTAGGAAGTATGGAAAAAATCTTACTTGCTGGGTAGGTTCATGCATCTTGGGTCTTCTAGACTGAAAGGATTGGTAGCGCTAAAGGTAAAGAGCAGCACTTTGATTTGTATCTGTATACACATTGAGATTCCAAATTTAGTTCTTTAAGTACTGGTAGAAAGTGATATGAGTATTATTTAGATTCCTAGCTGGTGTATTTTGCACCAGCTGAAGTTTTTCAACTGTTCTCAGGTAATCCCACATGGAATGCATTGTTTTTTTATGTAACTCCTATCACAAAATGACCTTCATTTGTGCTTGATGATTAATGACTTATCTTTTCTCCTCCACCAGGCTGTAAGCATGTGAAAGGCATCCTCTTATTTGGCCCCCCTGGATGTGGTAAGACTTTGATGGCCAGGCAAATTGGCAAGATGCTGAATGCCAGAGAACCAAAAATTGTGAACGGACCTGAAATCCTCAACAAATATGTTGGCGAGTCAGAGGCCAACATTCGCAAGCTCTTTGCAGATGCTGAAGAAGAACAAAAAAGGGTAACTAGATAAGAATCAGATATTGAAATGGTAATAGTTTGTGATGCGAATTCAGGCTGGAACATGACATGACTCCCACTCAGAACAGCTGTTTGCTTTACTCCCTTTTCTGTAATGTCTACTGTTGCAAAATGTGCAGTGACATCATTTTGTTGTGCTCCATCCTTGTAAACAGCATTTTTTGCATTTTAACCACTAAACATGATATAGGAGAAAGAGATGGCAGAGAGATTCAGGGGTCTTACTTCTAATAGCCTTCATGGTGTCTAGTTCTTTTTATAAGGGTTCATAGGATTGTAGTGGAATCGTAAGAGTATTTGGGTGCACTAGGATGATCCCACTGCAATCCTAAGGTCTGTTTGTTGGCTGCATGTAACATTTAGTACCTAGGATTCCCCTAACCTCTAAATGTACAGAACCCCCCCCCCCCAAAAAAAGCCCCCAGCAAATTATACTTTTTTTCTATGGCTTCTAGGGGCACAATGTATCATTTGGATATTATTTTTTCATAGTGAATGATACATCTTGTCTTAGAACAGCCGATGGTTCATTTACAATCTTGTTGTAACCCTCTGTGGGAGGTCAGTAGTGGTCATTGGAGTCTGTGAAGTTGTCTACTCCAGTTTGTTGGACTTTATCTTCTTTTTACACATCACAGTAGAACAGCGTTTCTCAACCTGGGGGTCGGGAGGGGGTGTCAGAAGGGTTGCCAAAGACCATCAGAAAACACAGTGTTGTCTGTTGGTCATGGGGGTTCTGTGTGGAAAGTATGGCCCAAGTCTGTCCTTGGTGGGACACAGACTGTTCTTTGATTGTAGGTGAACTATAAATCCCAGCAACTACAACTCCCAAATGTCAAGGTCTATTTTCCCCAAATTCCACCAGTGTTCACATTTGGGCATATTGAGTATTCATGTCAAGTTTGGTCCAGATCCATCATTGTTTGAGTCCACAGTGCTCTCTGGATGTAGGTGAACTACAACTCCAAAACTCAAGGTCAATGCCCACCAAACCCTTCCAGTATTTTCTCTTGCTCATGGGAAAATACATCCTGCATATCAGATATTCACATTACGAATTAACAGTAGCAAAATTACAGTTATGAAGTAGCAATGAAAATAATTTTATGGTTGGGGGTCACGTCATTACGAGGGTTGAGAAACACTGCAGTAGAAGATATTCTATACCATAAAACATTTGCCAAACTTTAAAGCACCGAGGTGTTAAGATCCCACTTCTTATTTAGATCATTTATTCTGATGCTGCAACATTTCCTACAGTGGGATGTTTTATAGTGCTCTTTATTTTGTCTGAATGCATCAAAACTTCTAAAAATCAGACCCCCCACCCTTGATATCAACGCAGACTGGGAAACACATGTATTTAAAGTACCGGTGGTGACTTAAAGAGCATATATCTCTCTCAAGGACCACCATTGCCTCACCCTTCCTCTACAACTTTTAAATCAAATTTGGGAAGACAAAGTTAGATTTACAGTCTGCGATTGAGTCAAAACTGCAGAATATATACATTCTAGGTGACTGCTACTTGGTTCTGGAATTGTTTTCCACCAGAGGCTTTGACAAGCATTGTCCCTGGTTACATAATACAAAAAAATAAAAATGGCAAAAAGCCTTCTTCTATGACATGCTTTTCTTCTTCTTCTTCTTCACTAGCTTGGTGCAAACAGTGGTGTCCATATCATTATCTTTGATGAGATTGATGCTATCTGCAAACAACGAGGAAGCATGGCAGGCAGTACTGGTGTCCATGACACAGTTGTGAACCAACTTTTGTCCAAAATTGATGGAGTTGAGCAGTTGAACAACATCTTGGTCATTGGTATGAACATGTCTAGTTTGGTGTTAGATAGAGATAATAAAGAATCCTTTCCCATCCTGCTTTGTGCCTGGTGCATAATGGCAAAGATATGGCATTGGTCCATATGTTCAAACTGTTCAGGCTCTCATGATACCTTTCCTAACAGTTTTCATTTGGTCTATAGGCATGACTAATAGGCCAGACCTGATAGATGAGGCTCTCCTGCGACCTGGACGACTGGAGGTGAAAATGGAGATTGGTAAGTACGCAATGGGAACATTCATGCAAATTATTATTTATTTATTTATTTCGGTTACTTCTACCCCGCCCTTCTCACCCCGAAGGGGACTCAGGGTGGCTTACAAAGGCACAATTCGATGCCAGCATCACATAACAGTAATAAAACAAATAGCATCAATTAACAGTTAAACAACCATTCCTGCATTACAACAATAAAACCAATAAAACCAATACAAACCCAATTACTCCTCATTGACGGTCAGCGTTCGCTATCTCATAGTTCAATTTCCAATTCCACAATTGTCAGTCCTGTCAGTCCTATTCGTCTGGTTGTCCTTATCTAGTTAGCAGATTGCCCGAAGGCCTGGTCCCACAACCACGTCTTTACCTTCCTCCTGAAGGAGAGGAGGGATGTTGATGCCCTAATTTCCCCCGGGAGTGAGTTCCACAGGTGAGGGGCCACCATTGAGAAGGCCCTGCTCCTCGTCCCCACCACCTCACTTGTGATAGCGGTGGGGTCGAGAGCAGGGCCTCCCCAGATGATCTCAAATTCCGGGGTGGGACGTAGAGGGAGATACGTTCGGACAGATACACTGGACCGGAACCGTTAAGGGTTTTGTAGGTCAAAACCAGCACCTTGAATTGTGCTCGGAACTGAATTGCAGCCAGTGGAGCTGACACAGCAGGGGGTGGTGTGCTCCCTTTATGACGCTCCGGTGAGTAATCTGCTGCCGCCTCTGGACTAATTGAAGTTTCCGAACAGTCTTCAAAGGGCAACCCCACGTAGAGTGCATTGCAGTAGTCTATTCGGGATGTAATAAGAGCGTGGACCACTGTGGGATGCTATCAAAAGCCATAACATTATTGTGAGAACCAGAAAGGTCTTCCAGGAGTCAGGTTTATTACCAGTGATTTTAACAGTATTGCAAACGAGTTAACTGTTATTAACCTAAATAATATTTTATTAGCTTGTCTTAAATACAAAGCATATTTTAGATTGTGTTTTTATACCTAAAAGAAATTTTATCACAACTTGTGCTGAAAAAGAAAAACTTCTCTGTAGATGCTGCTTTTTCATTCTGATTTTTTTTAAAAAAAATCATTTTGTATTTTTTTTAAAAAGTCTATGCCGTTCTTCATTGTGTGTTTCTAGAACTTTTATAATATATTAAAACAAATAAAACACAGGCAGCAATGATAACAGATCAAATGGCATAAAACTAATGTAGCAATGGGAAACAATGCAAATATTTAAAGTACTTAAAGCCTGGGCAACAAAAAAGATATTGCACAGCACATAAATGATAACAAGGTGGGTTAGCTTTGCAGAGGAGGGAATTCCCACATTAGTCTACCACTTCTGAAAAACATTCTTCCCTTTTTATCACTTTTCTCACTGTTGCTGATGGGGTCATTTTAAATACTGGTAGGCTGATGTTAACATAGTGTTGGCTCCATTTTTTCTCCTGTCTCTATTTTGTTCCTGTTAGCATGGAGAATTACTTCCAGCTGGTGACATAGAATCAGTGACCGTGGTTTGCTGTGGCAATTTTAAAACCACATATCCTCCTCTTCTCCATTTTCACATGTCAAGAGATGAAAGAAAGTCTGCCACAGTTTGAAATCTTTGTTTGTATTTAGTAGCCATGTTTAGACATAATAGTTTGGTTGATTCAAAATCAGAAAAAAATATTTTCCAGAACATAAAATAGAGGGAATTAGTACAAAACTGGAGTCTGAGCAGGATAGGTTATTCCTTCACAAATATTAGTGTTGTGGTCAAAAAAGAAAGTGGCATTCTCTGAATTAAAGGACTCACAGAGGTGTTCTCTCTTTTTAGGTTTGCCAGATGAAAAGGGACGAATACAGATTCTTAACATCCACACTGCAAGGATGCGGACCCATCAGCTGCTTGGGCCAGATGTTGACATTTCAGAACTGGCAGTGGAGACCAAGAACTTCAGTGGTGCTGAGCTTGAGGGGCTGGTTCGTGCAGCACAGTCCACTGCTATGAACAGACACATTAAGGTTTGATTTCTTCCAACCCATTCCATCAACAGACGTCCTCATTGTGAAACCATTGCTGCCTCCCTGTTCTCTCTCTCTTCTACATCCTTTTTTCTTTTGGAAAAGGCATGAATTCTGCTTGATCGTAATAAATTTGAATATCTGCTATTTTATTCTTTGCTATAACTAATAATTATTAGATATCATTAAGTACACAGTTTCCCTCCCAATGTGTGCAGGCAGTCCCTAGGTTATATGCAATAGAGGTCCTGTAGGTTTGTTCTTAAGTTAATTTGTTTGTAAGTGAGAAAAGGTACATTTTTAAGTGTAATTCCAGCCAAATATATATACAGGCAGTCCCCAAGTTACAAACAAGATAAGTTCTGTATTTTTGTTCTTAAGTTACATGTTAGAACAGGTTTTTGAAAAATTGGATTTTTGAAAAATTTGGCTGCTTGTGGAAACAAGAATTGGTGAGAAAGCTTCAATAGAGACACCTGTTCTCCATGATAACTTTTCCAGAGTGAATTTCCCTACCTAGGGATAGATTTCTCTCAATTCCTGTTGTCTCACCCCATTTTTAACTATGAGTTGTTTGTAAGTTGAATGTTTGTAACTCGGGAACGGCCTGTATATAAAAAAGCACCTGTGATTCAAAGACACACTCTGTTTTTAGAGATGTTTATATTGGGGTGGGGGGGATGGCATCTTAGAATCTTGTCAGATATTTGTAACTTGAGAACTGCCTGTATACATCACCTTTGGATAGCATTGTTTTAGGCATTTTGTGTCATATGTAAGCCGCCCTGAGTCCTTTCAGGGAGATGGAGGCGGGGTACAAAATTTAAGTTAGTATTATTGTTGTTATTTGAAACACAACAAGATGAGTCCACAGCAGACAGTCTGCTGTCTGTTGAATTAGATCACACGTCGGACACTTCCCAAGTGTCTAGGACTGTGTGATGTATTGGCAAATAATGCATGCAGATCCCAGAAAGGTGGCCTTCTGCAGCTGGTATTATTATTAATGTGTGATACCACTGGGACTTTAACGTTCAGACCTCAAGGGAGGGATGGTGTGAGTCAGAGTTTTTTGTGCTGTACTTTAAAGAAACCTTGTAATTGAAAGCTAGCATGTCAGGGAAAGAGAATTTCAGGCCTATTTTTCCTTTGCAATCTGTTTTTTAATGTACAGGAGAGCTTGTTTGAAACATGGGTTGTCATTTAAACATAAAGCATCTCCACCTGCAATCTGAGGGTCAAACTAGATTGGGGAAGTCACATTTGTCATTTACATGCCTGCTCCTCTTCAAGAGGTGTAATGGATTAATAGAAGGATTTCCCGTGCCTCCTAACTCTTTATATTCACAGTAGCTGAAGCACTTTCTCCTGCTTTGCTTACTTTTGTGGTATCAGAGCTAGCTGAGGGAAAATACACATAGCAACAGGACACAGAGGAGAAATATATGAGAGAGAGTTCAGCCAGTATAATTTACTGGTCATTTATGTTAAAAATAAACCTCTCCTTCACATTGGCAGGAAAGCAGATATGCAACTATTGTGGGTACTATATGAATAAGGTCTCGGCTTGTGCTTGAATGTTGCTACTTTTGAATCAACTTAAAGTGTTACTGGATTTGTGAGACTTGGAAAGAGTTTAGATTTGGGCCTAAACTTTCTTAGTGCCTTCTGATTCGTGACCTCTGATAACCCATCTGTAACATAGGCTCAATCTATGCCCAGACCTGCCCACTTAATTGACTTGGACTGTTTAAAAATAAATGCTCTGGGTGGGGCTATGCGTTCCTTATTAATTGTGTTTGCATATATAACATAATTGAGACTTTCAAGGAAGAAAAAAAATGGGGCCATTATTATATTGCCTGTGCTAAAATGACCCCTGATAGGAGATAGGAGTATTGTCATTCTGTGTGTTGTGTTGTATTGTATAATATAGTATTGTCATTCTATCCTCCAGTCACTATTTATCTTCTTGTTGGTTTCTGAATCTCCCATGTAACTTTTTTCTTTTCTGCTTTGAGAGCTAGACATTTGTTTTACAAACACTATCTGAGGTATAGTTTAGTCTAATAGTATAGTATAGTTTAGTTTAATTGCTGCTATTGTACTGTCTTGATTGTTTTAACTACAGTAGTTATAACTGTTGACGCTATATTGTAATTTTTGTATATTGTATTTTGTGAATTGTTGGGCATCGAATTGTGCCTTTTGTAAGCCACCCTGAGTCCCCCCTAGGGGGTTGAGAAAGGTGGGGTAGAAGCACCCCAAATAAATAAATAAAAATAAATAGTCCAGTGCTACTCATAGTTGTGCTTCATGGACTCGTTCTGGTCTCTGAAACATTGACTGCTTACTCTGAGTTAGAAGGAAAGACAATTGTCTCCCATTATTGTCCCTAACATGTTAGGAAAAAAGTGACTATTTCCTACATCAGAATGTCTGAGAAGTTCTTCTTGTGGGTTGTGCTAACTGTGTACAGAAGATAAACATCCACAAAGCATTTTAATACTCAGCTCCTGAAGGCAGGTTTTCAGGATGGGATGTTGGAGGGTGTTTTTCCCTTTCTTTCCCCCTGTTCATTTTTTAGTTGTAAAGGTCACTCTGTCTTTAGTAGGAAATGAATGATGCGCAAAGTGAAATGTCAGGGTGAAGGCAGTAGAGATTACCTGAAACAAGCAAAATCAGGTTTTCTATATTGGAGAGTGTTGAAATGCTTATTTTTATTATTCTGTAACAGGTGTAGGACAAAAAGTGCAAACTGGAATACACAGCTGTTAGTGTAATGCTGTACACAATGCTTTAGGAAGCCCCTTCTTTTAATGTGAAAATGCACATTATCTGACATTTCTACACATGGAGTAGGGGTCATGTTCAATCAGTCTCCTCCTGCCCACACCCCAAAACACTTGGCAAAGTATATCCTCTTTTCTTAAATGCATTACTTCGGTTGTTTCACCTTCAGAGAGGAAAGGTCAAAATGTGTGTGCGTGTGTATCACATGGGAAGATGGCAAATGTGAATGCAATGTTTTCATTTCTTACAGTTTAGACATGCCTCACGCCATAGTGACCCAACACATTGCCACATGCATGACAGAAACCACAAAGGACTAGACTCAAGGAAATATGTTTTATGTAGGAACACTACACAAAGAAAGATAGGTTTCTTATCATTAGATAGTCTGAGGTTGGGGTGTAGAAAGCCCAGGGAAAGTGTGAGGAGAGAGCAAGAGCTTAGAACATCAATTCTGACAAATATTTCACCCAAAGGAGTTGAGTAGAGCTTGGTAGGATGAGTGGCCACCCCAGTACCAGAAAAGGAAATGCACAATACATTTCTGCTTCAGAATAGCCATTCTGAAAGTAATGCTCTAAACTATGGGAAGGGGGCGGGAATATGTGGCTTCTAGATGTGGTTAAACTACAACTCCCAGCAGCCCTAGACAGCATAGTCAATAGTGAAGAACAATGAAAGTGGCAGTAAGGCTGCATCCTGAGGATCATGACTTGTCCAGGGTGGTCCAGATATCCAGGGTGGTCCAGATGTATATTCTCACAGGTCTTTCTAGAGATCCCACATTTTCAATGTAGTCTGATTTAACATACATGGCTCATAACAACACCTACGCGGGGCCGTAGCAACATCTCTTTGGCCCTGCTACCTTACAACTCCTGGGCAGGTTGCCTCCATGGCCCCACAGCCTCTTAGTGACAATACTTCAACAGCTTAACTGCCCGCTGCTGGCCATAACAACAACTGCTTGGGGCCATAACAACACCTCTTCAACCCTGCTGCCTTGCAACACCTGGGCAAGGTTCCTCCATGGCCCCACAGCCTTGCGGCGAGAGTACTTATTTATTTATTTATTTATTTATTATTTAAACTTATATGCCGCCACTCCCCTGGGGCTCGGGGCGGCTTACAAGAATAGCTAAAATCTAACAAAATTTAAAAGCAGTTTAAAACAATTTAAAAACAACAATATCAAACATTAAAAGCCTGTCAAAACAGGTATGTCTTCAATGGCCTAGCTGCTTGGCCATGTCTTAATTGTATTACATAAAGACCAGAATGAAGTCCAAATAAAATAGCACACAAATCTGAAACAATTATAACTTGTTAGCCACTCTGAGTCCCTTTTGGGGTGAGAAGGGGGGCATATAAATGCAGCAAATAAATAAATAAATAAATAAATAAATAAATAACCTTAAAGCACATTTGATCACACTATAACATTACTACACCTTTGAATTCAAAATATTTTGAAAGCATAAAAATAAGGAGTGCAACACTCACCTATTCAAAGCCTATGTCTCACTAGGCAGTCAGTTGTCAATAGCCTACTTGCATATACAGGTCTTCGTCTACTGGTAGAAAGACAGCTGAAAAAGGCAAGCCTATTCTCTTTTTGAAGGGAACTTCACACTCTGACATCAGCCATAGAGAAGTCTTCTTTTGTGTCTACCAAGCATGTCTCTGTGGCTGCTGGGATCAGTAACAACTGGATCAGTGAGTAAATGCTTAGCTGGCTATCTTGTAATGTGTTATTCCCTCTTCTTGTTAGGCCACCTCCAAAGTAGAAGTTGATATGGAGAAGGCAGAATCTCTGCAAGTGACAAGGGGTGACTTCTTTGCTTCTTTGGATAATGATATCAAGCCGGTGAGTGAGCCCTTTGTAAATCTTGTTGTTGGACATTGAGACAGCCTGTTATGGCCCTTGTTCCAAAAAGGTACAAGGAGGAAGGGCTGATAACTACTCCTTGATGTGATACATCTATTCTTTTTCAACCTACAGGCATTTGGGACCAACCAGGAGGATTATGCAAGCTATATCATGAATGGTATTATTAAATGGGGTGATCCTGTCACTCGGGTGCTGGATGATGGTGAACTTCTAGTTCAGCAGGCCAAAAACAGTGATCGCACCCCCTTGGTCAGTGTCCTCTTGGAAGGTAAGTTTCTCTCTATACAGACTGCTCTGGAAGGGAGGAAATATACTACATTCTCTTAGGAAACTACTAAGAACTTTCTAATATTTAAGAAGCCTTGTGTTTTGGGAGGAAAAATAATGGAATTTGGAAAACATTAGATAATTTTTTTCACTGTGATGGCAGCAATGAGCATTTATTTCATTACACATTGGAAAAGAAAGTCAACTCTAGTTTGCTGTGATATCTAAATAACTGCACAGATTGTAATCTGCAGCTAAACTAAAACTGGACATCAATATCCAAAATGGCTTTGGAAACCATGTTTTTGACAACACTGATTTATTTGCTGTGATTGGCATACCATCACTCTTCCCCCACCAGGGGCTGCTGCATCCTGGAAATGGAAATGAGCTTAAAATGGGATGAACTGCTCCAAATTCCGGTTTAACTGTTGTGTATTTGGAAGAAACTATGGCCCTGTATCTTAATGATGACTTGTCATTATAGTTGAATTGATGAAAATAATGATTCTGCTTCCAACTTTGAAGACTCAGAACAAACAGGAAGCACACATAAGGAGAGATGGTGGCAGGAAGGTGAACAAAAGGACTGTAACAGTCAGTTGTAGTTGAAAGTTTTGGAGAGGTCCAGCAGAACCAGCACTGTGTACTCCTCCTTTATCTATAAATTGAGATCTCCAAGATTTATGAAGAAACCATTTCAGTGACAGATTTTTTAAGTAGTCCCTTTAAGAAATAGCTTGTAGAAAATCCCAGTAAGCTTCTGTCTTACCAGTAATGATTGGTCCATGGTGATGGAACTATCATACCATCACACTCAGGCCCCTTCTACACTGCCATATAATCCAGATTATCAAAACAGATATTTATTTACTTTATATATATATCCCGCTCTATCTCACTTCGAGGGGGGGACACAGAGCAGCTTACAGTTTGGCAAAATTCAATGCCACATTATACATTAAAAAAAGCAATACATAACATAAATTAACTAACATTAACAGGCATATAAATACAAATTAAAAACATTAAAACATATTAAACATATGAAAATATCATAAAACAAATTGAACATTGCACCAGTAACATAGTCATCCAAACATTTAAAACAGATAATCCACAATATCTGTTTTGAACTGGATTATATGAGTCTACACTGCCATATAATCCAGTTCAAAGCAGATAATCTGGATTTTATATGGCAATTTATATGGCACTATCTCCAGTAAAACTCAGATTTCCCAATAGAGCAAGTCTATGTCCAATTGAATAGTTTGGACCAGAAATAATTTAACACAGAACCATAAAGGGTATGAAATCCCAAATCACTTGCAACAAGGTGGGCTCAGCATGGATATTGAAGCTTTCTCACATCATGTTTAAATTTAGGACATTCCAAAATCACTTTTGCGATTTTAGCACAAGCTGAGAACCTATTGGATGGCACAACAAGGAGTATCCCGAATGAGGCTTGTTCTGTTCTGAGGAACCCTTTTTACTTAGAACTAGAAGACTACTAGACTGAGCACTTGGATAGGTGTTGCAATGCTGGCTATAAATAATTCTATAACCACAACTGTTTTAAGGATTTGAAAATGAATGAGCATCTCACTCAGTCAAGTAAATTTTCAATGTATAGATGAGTTTGTTGATGCCCTTTTTGTTTCTCTTAGGCTTGTCTAAATTTCTTGTATGTTATGTATTTATTTTGTTTGCCCTGGGTTTAGTTGTTTGTTTCTGTGGACAGGTCCACCTCACAGTGGGAAAACAGCTCTGGCTGCAAAGATTGCAGAAGAATCTAACTTCCCCTTTATCAAGATCTGCTCTCCTGACAAGATGATTGGCTTTTCAGAAACTGCCAAATGCCAGGCAATTAAGAAGGTATAAGCTGCAACTGTACAGAGCAATTTGTTATTTCACTGTTTTTCAGCCTACACTTCGTGCCATATCGAAATGCTGTTATGAATTAAGTGGTCAGTTCAGATTTAAAGTCAGGTGCCATTTGAAATGACAGCGAGATGTCATAAGCAAAGGCATTCCAATGAGCAGAACACAGATCAGAACTGGCATTGGAAACTCTTTGCATTCCAAAGTAGTTGTTATAGTATTGGACATCTGCAACAAATAGCTTGTACCTTTTTCCAGCTCTAAAGTCATTGTTACCTTGGATCCTGCAGCCAGCTAAGAGCTTGTACAAGAAAAAAGCAAGATATTAATTAATTCATTAAATATTTTTCTTAAATGATAGCACATGATAATGGGGAAAGCAATTTTATATATAAACTAGCTGTCCCCTGCCACGTGTTGCTGTGGTCAAGTCTGGTGATCTGGAAAATAAAGTAATGAGGTGTTGGAGATACATATATATTTTTCTATAACACATGGTTAGGAGAGTGGTCCATCCTCTCAATTCAATTATTTTCATTTTAAAAATGAAATCCAACCATTTTTATATGATGGGAAGACATAATCAAATGCTGTTGGGTAACAAAGTCTTATCATGCTGGTACCAATAGCTGAAAGAACAATAATTCAGAGATAGATCATTACTTGCTTTTGTCTGTGAAGACTGGATCAAACTTTGAGTTATAAACATGTGTATTTTTAATGGTAAAACTAGTGCAAATCCAGTGAATCTGATAAAGTTGTATCAGTTTCCTACGTAGCCACTCACTTGTGGTCGCTAATCTGGCCGCCGTTTCTCAAGAGCTAAAATTTTGGAGACTCTGTCGCGTGACTCGAACTATAATCATCTATTACAGAAACAGTACGAATCAAAGTACACACACACACAGAAAACACACCATAAAAAACATAATATTAAAAGTGATTTTTCCAATACATCTCCTAACTAAAATCGTGGTCCAATTGCATCATCCATATTACCAATCCGTAGTCGACACATTCATTGCACCGAATTAACCAAATGCCTGCTTGAACATCCAAGTTTTTAGTCTTTTTCGGAATACCATCAGCGAGGAGGCTGATCTTACCTCCATGGGAAGGGCATTCTATCTATATTTATGACTGGATGGCTCTGTGTCAGGAGGGCTCTTGATTACATTTTCTTGCCCTGGTGAAGAGAGTTGGACTGGATGGCCTTAAGTATTTTCCGTTGGTCATGGGGGTTCTATGTGGGAAATTTGCCCCAATTCTGTTGTTTGTGGGATTCAGAATGCTCTTTAATTGTAGGTGAACTATAAATCCCAGTAACTACAAATCCCAAATGTCAAGGTCTGTTTTCCCCAAACTCCATATTTGGGCATATGGAATATTTGTACCAAGTTTGGTCCAGATCCATCATTGTTTGAGTCCACAGTGCTCTCTGGATGTAGGTGAACTACAACTCCCAAAATCAAGGCCATTGCCCACCCAACCCTTCTAGTGTTTTCCATTGGTCATGGGAGTCCTGTATGCCACATTTGGTTCACTGCCATTTTGGGTGGAGTTCAGAATGCTCTTTGATTGTAGGTTAACTATAAATCCCAGCAACTACTACTCCCAAATGACAAAATCAAAAAATTTTGAGTAAAGGACATACATTGGGTTGTTAGATGTATGCCGTCCACATTTGGTGTCAATTGGCCCACTAGTTTTTGAGTTCTGTTAATCCCACAAACGAACATTACATTTTTATTTATGTAGATGATCCATTCTTAAAATGTAGGAGTTATTTTATTTGGAATGGTATCTTGCAAGCCATCGCGATAAATTCATGTTTCTCATGTTCCAGAAGTGTTAGGGAGGAAACGTTTTACAGTTCTTCTGCATCTTGCGATAATGGTACTCCTTACATTTTAACATTTTATTGTTCTTATTGGATGTCTGCCAGTCTTCAAATTGAGATGTCTTGACTTCAGTCCTCCAGAATAAAAATGTGGGATAGCATTTAATATAGAGGACATCTTAGTTTGTAATATGTACATAATTCAAGGTTGTTTAAGTGAAATACACCAGAAGACTGAGGCTGCAAGAATTACATGCATTATTATCACCTACAAAATTACTAGATACCAGAAAAGTAGTAAAGAACTCTCAGGTTTAGATAGTAGACAAAGATTGACAATATAACCACCATTCCTAAGTTCACTACAGATAATTAAATATATTTACCTGTTTTCTAGAATACAGATATTCTCCTAAGGGGATTTGAGCCACAATTAATAGCATGATCTTACAAATGCTGAGCATTTGTTTTTAATTTCTTTTCAAAAGATTGGCATGTGGGGATTGATAGTACTGAATACAAACCAGCAAGAGGATGCTTGAATTCCCCCAAATTGGGGGCTTCGGAAGAATTCCAAGCATTCAATAACCTCCCCAAAGGAGGGAGAAAATTACTGGCAATATATAATGCATGATATTCCTTCATTAATCTCTGCATTTTTAGCAAAGACTTCAAAACACCTGTTCTTCAGGCTAGACTGTGCCTGTTCCGCGTAGCAGTTGTTGCCAAGTTGCTGCTCCTGGAATTTGTCTCACATTTTAAGAATATTTTTACAATCAGAGAATATCTGGAGTTTTGCATATAAATCAACACTTTATTTGTTCTGTATCTTTTTGCTTGCTAAAATTTAAATTGAACTACAGTATATATGTGTTAACTAATTTTACCCCCCTTGCTTTGTTTTGTTTTAAAATAAAAGTCCAGTGCAGTTGTTGTGCTTAGAGATGAAAACTATTTTTCTTTTCTTGTTTCACCAACAGATCTTCGATGATGCTTACAAGTCACAGCTCAGCTGCGTGGTTGTGGATGACATTGAAAGGCTCCTTGGTGAGGAATATGGAGGATGGGATACCTTGGGCAGACAGTTGAGAACTTTTCTGTGGCTTGCTCTGAGCCCGGATCTAGTTTAGCACTGTCAAATGAAATAAGGTATAAGGTTTCTATAGTTTAAATAATTGTATAAAAGGTAAAGGTTGCCCCCTGACATTAAGTCCAGTCATGTCTGACTCTGGGGTGTGGTGCTCATCTCCATTTCTAAGCCGAAGAGCCGCCATTGTCCATAGACACCTCCAAGGTCATGTGGCCAGCATGACTGCATGGAGCGCTGTTACCTTCCCGCCAAAGCGGTACCTATTGATTTACTCACATTTGCATGTTTTCCAACTGCTAGATTGGCAGAAGCTGGGGCTGACAGCGGAAGCTCACGCCGCTCCCCGGAATCGAACCTGCAACCTTTCGGTCAAAAGCTCGGCAGCTCAGCACTTTAAACCAGTGCGCCACCGGCGGCTCCACACATTTTTATAATTGTATAGAAGATGGAATTTCAGCAAGTGTTGCTTGTTGCTGCAATTTCCTTGTCTGCACAACAATTCATGGGACAACAACCTTGCACCTTATTTCACCCAGCAACCCTAACCTAGATCCATACACACAATTTTCTTGCCAGAGCTCATGTTCATGAGTGTGTGGATATCACTACTCAACCTGTGTATTGGGCTAGGCAAAACTACAGTTAGGTGGATCTGTAATTGGTTAAGCGGACGAACCCAGACGCTCGCAAATTCTTCCTCTTCATCCTGGAAAGAAGTGACGAGTGGAGTGCCGCAGGGTTCTGTCCTGGGCCCGGTCCTGTTCAACATCTTTATTAATGACTTAGATGAAGGGTTCGAAGGCATGATCATCAAATTTGCCGACGACACCAAGTTGTGAGGGATAAGATATAAGGTTTCTATAGTTTTAATAATTGTATAAAAAGTAAAGGTTGTCATTAAGTCCAGTCATGTCTGACTCTGGGGTGTGGTGCTCATCTCCATTTCTAAGCCATTTCTAAGACAGGAGCAAAATTCAAAACCATCTGATTGTTTATTGGAATTGGAATATTGTTTCCAATTCTGGGCACCACAATTGAAGAGAGATATTGACAAGCTGGAATGTGTCCAGAGTAGGGTGACTAAAATGATCAAGGGTCTGGAGAACAAGCCCTATGAGGAGCAGCTTAAAGAGCTGGGCATGTTTAGCCTGAAGAAGAGAAAGCTGAGAGGAGACATGATAGCCATGTATAAATATGTGAGAGGAAGTCATAGGGAGGAGGGAGGAAATTTGTTTTCTGCTGCCCTGGAGACTAGGACGTGGAACAGTGGCTTCAAACTACAAGAAAGGAGATTCCATCTGAACACTAGGAAGAACTTCCTGACTCTGAGAGCTGTTCAGGAGTGGAACTCTCTGCCCCCGAGTGTGGTGGAGGCTCCTTCTTTGGAAGCTTTTAAACAGAGGCTGAATGTCGGGGGTGCTTTGAAACAATTTTCCTGCTGCTTGGCAGGGGGTTGGACTGGATGGCCCATGAGGTCTCCTCTAACTCTATGATTCTAAGTGGATAGGATGTAAAAGCCCATGCAGGGTGAGGAAAAGGCTGAGAAGGAACACGTTCACAGTAGACAGGTATTCAAGAGCTAAACTCCTGTTTGTACAGGTGAGCAAGCACATTTTTGTGGACTTCTCTGAACTGTAGGTCTAAAGAGGCTTGGATGCTTTAACAGCACATAAACGGAATCCCTCTGTGATATTTCTCAGGTCACCAGTTCAATGTGACCTATTAAAATTTGGTCTCCAAAAAAGAAACAGAGCAGTAATTAAATTTTGCTGTTGATTTTAGTAAACCTTAATAAATTGTCTTCTCTTCCCCACCTTTCAGATTATGTTCCGATTGGACCCCGATTCTCCAACCTGGTGTTGCAGGCTCTTCTGGTGTTACTGAAGAAAGCGCCACCACAGGTAAATTCTCTGTTTCTGCCGCAAGAGAAAATGGTTATAATGTGGACTGTGCACATTCAGGGCAAAGGAGACAGTAGGACAGCACTCAGCCACAGATATCATACAGATCTCTGTCTTCAGTTTGAGGCAGCATGAACATCTTTGGAAACTCAGTGGTTGGGATCTGTATGTGCTCATTTATGTGAGATATTAACAAATGGTTGATCATAGAATTAGATTATTCTGGGATAGTGCTACTGAAAGTGGTTCATAGAAAGTGGCTTGTTGTGAGTTTCAGTGATAATAATATGTCCTTGGTGCATTGGGGGTAACATTGCTAGTTCACCACATCTGATAGCTTGAGAATAATAATAATAATAATAATAATAATAAGAAGAAGAACAAGAAGAAGAAGAAGAAGAAGAAAACTTTGTTCATACCCCATCACCATCTCCCCAAGGGGACTCGGGGCGGCTTACATGAGGCCACTGCCATCAATACAGTAACACACTATAACACAAGAACACAACAAAAAATAAGAAAATAAAATAACATAAAATACAAAACCAATATAAATAAACAGCACAACAATATAAAATCAGAACATTAAACACTAAAAAGAATAACTATTCTATTCTAGGACTTGGAGATGGAAACGAAACAGCGAGTCAGTTATTTGAAATTCTGCAGTAAGCAAGCTTCCAGTGACCAAACTGGACAGTATGTTTACTATTTGCAAAGCCTTCTCAAACCCACAATGTCTTATTAAAAAGCACCTACTTTCCAAGTAAAAAGTCACAAGTTACATTCTGGCCACTTCCATAATAACAGATTTTGGATTGGCAGGGTTGGGAATATCTTGGAAATTATGGACCAAGCAACTGCTTGTCAAATAACATAGTGGCTTAGCCCATCCCAGGTTAACCTAAAGAAGTCCCTGACCACATCTACTCTCTCGGCAGAGGGAAAATGCCAAAGAACCACAACCATTTCATGCCCACACATTCAAAAAGTCTAGAAGTGGTGCTGCAGCAAAGAAAGGGGGTCAGTGCGTCTTTTATTTACTTATTTATTTACTTCATTTATATCCGGCTCTTCTCACCCCTCAGGGGACTCAGAGCAGCGTACACCAGACATCTAGGAAAACGTTCAATGCCTTTATTATACGCACAGTTAAAACATAGCAGTTATTACTATTTCCAATCAACTTACTCAAACAACAATGGTGTTTGATTTAGCTAACAGTTTATTGCCAGTTATTCATTGCTAGACCAGTATTCAGTGTCAGTTGTATCTTTTTTAATTGAGCAAGAAAAGCCATTCAGAAACTGGGAACTGAAAAGGCCTGTAAACTAGTGTTTTTATTCAAAGCTTTTAATGCCAGTGCTTTTGTGTGTGTTTCTCTGAAAAGTACTTTTGCATTTTTTGCATTTCAAGTAGGACTAATGCTTAACATTTTTTTCATCTGAGAGTACTTTCTATGTTTTATTGCGTATAGTCTACCTATATTCAGATTGAAAAGGAATACTAAGCAGTACAAATATGGTATATTATTGAAAGACAGAAATCATATCCAAATTAATAAGTTTGGATTGTTATAATTATAAAGTATCAAAACATGGTTGATCAAGCTATCTAATGCTTAAAATAATGTTTTTCAGTATTGATATGATAAGCAGGATTCATTTTTTCCCCCAGTAAAACATTACAGGAAAAATAGGTTTAGACCAATAAAAACAGTTAAAAACTGTTTTCCCCATTGTGGTACTTATAGTGATCTGCAGGTAAGTCCACCCAGTTTTTTGGGATCAAATTTTTGACTCAAATTTCTAAACATATACATGCATATATACTGTAATGGAATTTGTACTTTTTTATTTACCTTGCTTCTGCCAGTGACATTCTGTTTCAGTCACTGAAATCTTTTTTTCAGACATGTCCCTGGTTTCTGAGATTTCAGCAGGCTCAGATTCTTAAAAACATTCCTTTGCAGCCTTGGAGACTGGAACCTTAGTGACTATTTTTTTTTAAGGAAAAGTTGCTGAAGAATGTAGGTTCTTTATACAGGGTGAGGCAGCATAACTTCCTTTTTTCAAAACTTAATAAAACCCATTGTATGAATCAGAGTATTTTTTTTTATAATGTGGGCGCATACCTAAAGTTTTGTTTTACGTAGTTTTGAAGATCAAATTAGGTAGGTGACGTCCCCCATTCTCCATATACTGAGGAAAACGATTTCTGGCGTTTGTCATGACTCTTGCCAGCATAGCATGTTGGCAATTTCTTCCTTGATGTTGATCTTCAAATCTTGTAGGGTCCTTGAACGGTTCACATAAACATGGTATTTCAAAAAGCCCCATTAAAAAAAATCACAAGGGGCCAAATCTGGAGAGAGGGCCGGCCACTCCAAATCCGCTCGAAAAGTAGGCCTCAATGGCAAAAGCACGCTCCTCACTGTTCCAACACTTGATGGTGACTGAACTGTGTTAGGACAAAACTTTATACTCCCGCCTCTCGAACGAGACCACTAGCGCTCTGCTATGTTTTCAACCGACTGAATGGCGCGCATTTTAAAAAAGGAAGTTATTTTGCCTCACCCTGTATAATGTCACACTCTGCATCTCTTCTGCCAAATTATGCTATGTACGGTCCTGTTTAATGGTTCACACTTCAAACTGTTTAATGCAGTTTCATCACTTTTTTCTGTTGACATGGAGTTGGCAGAGTTCATTGGGGCTGGTTTCTGAAAGGTGTTGTATTTATTTTTAACCAGCAAAGTATTCAATACTTTTGAAGGCTACTTCTATGCTTTTCTATAGTTCAGTGGTCTGAGAGTACCTCCCTCCAACAGCAAAATCTGAGGCATGATTATATTAATTGGACACTCTTGTCTGATGACTTGTTCCATCAGCCTTAAATACTTTACTGGGCTTATTGTTGAGGAGAGTATGGAATAGCCCCATGGAGGCATCTTTGAGCCACTGGAAGAAAGGGTGAGATACTAATGGGATAGATAATTAAATGTATATCATTCCACACGGTGGCACACTTGTACAACACCTCCCCGCATGACCCTGTCATGATAAGGTTACAGCATGAAGGTTTTCTGCAGCATTTTGTTTGGTAAGATAATGGATGCTTAGCCATAAAGTCTTGCATTTGAGGACAAAGTTTGCAAACAACCTCATTGGCTCGAGTACAGGAGACACAGTAATTGAAACCAGTCCATTCAGAAGGTTGCATTTGTGGCATGTTTGTCTCCACTGTCTGTGTATCAAGAGTTGTATAAACTTTCTGGATACAATGAGGGGATTGTATTAATCATATTGGGCTGTCCTTCCATTCACTTGGTCTATCTGTCTCCTGCTTTCTGTAAATTTTGCTTGCACATGCTAATGACACATCCCTGACATATTAAAACTTTATTCTCTTTGGTGAATGCTGTGGCTTTGTATGGGCTTATTATGCCAAGGAGCTCGTAGGATTTTTAAAATCCCTTTTTCTATATCTGCACATCTTTCAAAGCATAACATCTGTATATTTTGTTAGAAATTATTTTGGTCACATAGAGCTCATTAGGAGTATTGCAATCCACACTGTTTAGATTTCCTGAGCTTATGTAAAAATGTAAGCATGTGTACTGCAGGAATCTCATAAGTGATTCGCCTCTTCAGTAGCACAGAAGGTGTTGCACATGTGATCTCTTACTAGCCTGAGAAAAATTCAAAACAAGGCCAATATTTGTTTGGACTCCTTAAATTAATTTTGAAAGCCTTTCTAAAAATAAAGGGGAGGAAAATCTCTCCCCTTCTCTTTCTCTCTCTCTTCTCTCTTTTATTTCAGTCAGGTTTCTCTGGGCTTTGCAAGGAGAAGAGATTGTTGAAGGGAGGGAATAGAGGTTGGTGCGGGGAGAGCCTGAAAAGCGCTGTCTCAGCGGGGAGCCAAGCCAGAGAAAAAAGAGTTTCTCTGAGAATGGAGCAGTAACAGCTCGCCAAACCGGAGAAGCTTGCTTCATCTACATGCAGAGTCACACAAGCCATTGGATGCTCGGGAACCCCATGGAGGCTTCACATGTGGTTCCCTGCTGGTTCCTCTGAAAAAGCTAACAATTGGACTCAGAGGGTGAAAGCCCATTGCCGTATCTTTCCTCCCTCCCCCGCCTTTATCCTTAAGCCGGACAGACAATCTGGTCAGTGTTATGAGAAGTCCGGTGGACTCTTTTGGGGGGGAATGCCCCCTAACAAGGCCTGCTTTAGATTCCCTTCCTATGTTTGCTCTGCAGATTTCCACAGGGAGGATGCAGAGACTTTCTTGAGCTAGTCCAAAAATGTTAGCATATTTGGGGCAGTCTATCTGTGGGCTTTAGAGATTCTAGGGTTTCCCCCCACTGCCAAGAAACACTATATGTTCTTCTAATTTTGGTGTTGGGGAAAATATATGCTGAATGAGACTTTTAGCCACTTCACCTCCATAGAATACACTTGAAATTATGTGCCATTTCTTGTGAAAGATGAAAATGTCTTAAAGACTGAAGTATTTAAGAGTGGCATGCGCTCTAGTGTTGTGGTTTTCAAACTTTAACCCTGAGAACCTGTGATTCCTTAAAAGCAATTTCCCAGGGAAACATTGGCTTCAGAATTCAGTGTCTAGACATCACCCACATACTTTTAAGCCTATTCAAAATTATGTTGATAGACCATACAATCGATAAATAGATATAGAACTGCCATAAACAAAAGGAAACTAACCCGAAGAAACAGTACTAGAATAAAGGGAAAGGATTACCAATTAGCTTGGGAAAAGTTAGTAGGGGAAGATGTGATGTTGTTGTTGTTCATTCGTTCAGTCGTCTCCGACTCTTCGTGACCTCATGGACCAGCCCACGCCAGATCTCCCTGTCGGCCGTCACCACCCCCAGCTCCTTCAAGATGTGATAGAGGTGTATAAATTATGCATTATGTAGAGAAAGTAGATAAGGCTTAACTTCTTTCATAGTCCTAGAAGTAAGGGTCATACATTGAAGCTAAAGTGGCGGGAGGACAGATAAAAGGAGATCTTCACACAGTACTTGTCAAAATCATAGTCATATAATGTAGACATGGCTGCCCATTTGGATAGCTTTAAAGTGGGATTGGATACATTTATGGATGATGAAACCATCAGTAGCTACTAATGAAGTTATGTGTGGAGATGTATGATATCTCTAGCATCGGAAAGAGAGTTTCTCTCTATATGGGTAGCTGGGAGCATGAGATGGTGGGTGCAATTGAATTTGTTATAGCAGGCTTCCTCCTATAGGCAAGTGAAATTGATTAGTGTGTGAACAGAATGTGGGCCCTTGCTATCCACAGGGGTTTGCTTCCAAGACTGCATGGATACAAAAATCTGTGGATGTTTTAGTCCTATTGTATACAATTATATACAAATTTCAAGCCATGAAGGTTGAATCCGCGGATACAGAATCAGTGGATACGGAGGGTCAATTGTGTTTATTATTAAGATTATGCACCTGATGTGTGGCACAGTGGTCTTTTTTTCAATGTATATATGATTGTGAAATATAAAACAGTATCGAATAGAAAACTTATACTGAATTGTTATCCTATTTAGTTATAGATGCTGGGAGGATATTTTTCAAATGCAATAAGACCTGATATGTCTGAGATACTGCTTTATCGGATTTTAAAACTAGTATGTGTTCAAAACAAAAAGGCATTCTGTTCCCTTGCATTCAGTTAAAACTTACCATTTCCAATTTGAAAGTATTTCCAAACAAGAGGGAGGAGAGCCGATTTCTTTCTATATAGCTGTACAAGTAGGATTGTACCAAATTTTGCATATTCTGGAACTAAATCTATGTTTCATTTTTTAAATCCAAAATTTGGTACTATTTTACTCTAGAAATAACATGACTAGTTTGTAATCTTTGACACACCACTGATTAAAATATAGCAAATATTTGGCAGAAAATATCTACATGTCAGAAAGAATAGGAACATTTTAAATTCTGTTTGGATTTAAACTTTCAAAGGGATCCAAACAGAGGTTTACTGAGAATTTAAAATGTTCCTATTCTTTCTGACACGTAGAGAATATTTTGCCAAATATGTGCTATATTTTAACCAGTCCGGTGTGTCAAAGATTACAAACTAATCATGTTATTTCTAGAGTAAAATAAAATAAAATCAATCACTTCCTTTCTCTCTCTCTTTTGAGTGAGAAAATCGTAATCATTATTGGTTATGAGATTTAATGAGATTGAATTTTAGGGCAGATGCTTGTCATATCAATATAAATAAACCATTTCCAGCCCATATTTCTAGACATTGCCAGGCATTCAGAGAAAGTTGGAGCTTTGTGCTTGCTTGATTGTGGCTAAGTTGGATAGCTGCAAATTGCAAGGATGTTCAGCTTCTACCCTTAGGAAAGAGAGCACTAACAGTGACTACTCTCAAAGCAGGATCTCTCATTCCACACACATAGTAATAATTCTGATAAAATTAATGTATGCAGTTAAATCCGGCATTGCCAGAACCTGTGGAAATAACCTGAAAATGAGATTATTTCGGTTCTAGATAATCTGACAGCTTCAGGGTTCGGGAAGGCAAATAAATGATTCCTTTTCCCTCGGGTCCACATTTCAGACCATGTTAAACTTTCAACATGCCATCACTTAATTTGATTTTTAATACTTTTTGTTAGGCTTCATGAAGAAAAGTTGTAAAAGTCAAACCCGTGATTCAAAAGTCCAGAATGCAACAATTTTAGGTATAGATTTATTTAAAACCTGGCTTATGAGGGCCAGTTTTAAATTGCATCAGGTAAAAAAAATGGGTTCTGGGAATATTGAGTGGTAGTTTTCTGCCATAAATGAGGGAATGTGTGATTCATACTAGTGCATTATAGTGTTTTAACTCTTCAGACTCTGAGAGATCAGGGACCAAATCCCTGTTCAGCTGTGGGTGATCATTGGCGAGCCACACAGAGGCAATGGCAAACCCCTCTAAATAAATCTTGCACCCCCCCCCCCCCCCGCCCCGGATAAGCTTGCCATAAGTCAGAAATGATTTGAAAGCACCTAACAGCAACACAATGTAATTCACAGGGGTGGGGGAAGCAAGCAAGGGAAAGAACTACGTAAATAATAATAATAATAATAATAATAATAATAATAATAGTGCGGTTTTCCGGCATGGTATATAGACATCACGATTGTGGAAAAGAAAAATGTTTGGATTATTGATGTCTCCATACCAGGTGACAGTCGCATTGAGGAAAAACAACAGGAAAAACTCAGCCGTTATCAGGACCTCAAAATCGAACTGCAAAGGCTCTGGCATAAACAAGTACAAGTGGTCCCAGTGGTCATTGGCGCACTGGGTACTGTGCCAAAAGATCTCAGCCGGCATTTGGAAACAATAAACGTTGACAAAATCACAATCTGTCAACTGCAAAAGGCCACCTTACTTGGATCTGCGCGCATCATTCGAAAATACATCACACAGTCCTAGACGCTTGGGAAGTGTTTGACTTGTGAATTAGTGATACGAAATCCAGCATATAGATCTCGTTTGCTGTGACATACTGTGCTTTTGTGTCAATAATAATAATAATAATAATAATAATAATAATAATAATAAATCACACAGTCCTAGACACTTGGGAAGTGTCCGACGTATGATCCAATACAACAGCCAGCAGTGTGTTTGCTGTGGACTCATCTTGTGGTGTTTCAAATAATAATAATAAACTTTATTTATACCCCGCCACCATCTCCCCGATGGGGATTTGGGGTGGCTAACATGAGGCCAAGCCCTTTTAAAATACAATACAATGCAGTAAAAGACATAATACAAAAAACAAAATACATCAGAAAATAAATTAYAATACCAAATGAAAKAAAAGCAAGTTCACACCTTACAAAATCRARTAGGAAGGGCAGGCCAAATGAACAAGATAAATGATAAAACCCTAGGTGAGGTAAGTACTCTTCCTGCCACCTTGCTTTTCAACAACCCCCCCCCCTCCCCGCTCCCCATTGCTTTCTCTTGATACAGTACACATGTGTCTCCATCTGAGTAGGAGTGGTGTTTTTCCTCCACCTTCTTATTGCACCCCATGTCTGCAGCTCACAGCCAGTACTTGGCAGCAGAGGAATCCTTTCTGGAGTTACCAGTTCTTTCTGCGCCCCTGGAGATGTAGATTTCCCCTTAGGAGCTGTGTTCATAAATTTGGGGATTACAGTTATGTGTCCATCCGAGTTGGACGATAGCAGTTCTAATAATTTAATATCTTAATTAGTGTGTTCATAGTTCAAACGAAGGGTGTGCCTCCATTTCACATACAGTCTCACATTTTTCGGTGTGTGCTTGATAATACTGCTCACCAGCGGGCATGTTTAAACTTCATGACCCCTTCCAGCTGGCAACTAAGCATTATTGCCCGGGTGGGCTCTGTCTTTCATTGCAGCGATTTCTTTTCATGTTTAAAAGACTTACCGCTTTTGACTTTCAGCAGTTGGCATTTCATCATTTTTCTGGGTATAATCAGGTTAAATTTGCTAAAGAGGCCAAGCAGTGGAATTACTTGTGAGAAAGGTGGAGTGGTGGTGGCACAATTTAATTACTTATTAGTGCTTTTTGAAAATGTTTCAAGTAGAGGCCTGAACTTCCCTTGCCTTCGACTCCATTTCCTACCATCTCCAGCATCGTCTTCAAAACATCAATCAGAAATCTAGGCAGGTTCAAGAGCATGATTTGATAGTTTAAGCTCTATGCATGCTTGATACTTGCCCATGACTCTTCTGATGTAATGAATAGAAAATCACTTGTTTCACACATTTGTGGAGTTCATCAGCAAAATTTGTGGACTTCAGCAACAGGGAACAGAGACAGTACTTTTTTTTCTCAAAAGTTAATATGAGTTATTCTATAAAGCTAAGTGTATCAGGTCTCACCCTGTGGAGTGTCCTTCTAATTGAAGTTAAACATGAAGATCTCTGCTTTTGGCATCTTCTGAAGACCCAAATTTTCAAACATGCATTTCCTGACTAATCAATGCCAAACATTATTTAAGAAACTTACATTCAATCACCATTCACGTCTATTGGCCCATTCTATACTTCAAAACCTCCATTATTCAGTGGTGAAGGGGCATGTTTAAAACTCCTGTTTTAACCTCCATATTAACCAATTCTTGGTGTTTACTACTCAGACAATAGGCTGTGGCAGAACCACATTTCCGAGAAGCTTGTATGCATATTTTTAAGAAAATATGTTGACATTCTTCTTCCTGTTGTGCCATCTTTCTCATGCAGGGCCGCAAGCTCTTGATCATTGGGACCACCAGTCGCAAGGATGTCCTGCAAGAAATGGAAATGCTGGATGCTTTCAGCACAATGATTCATGTTCCAAACATTGCCTCAGGAGAGCATCTCATGGAGGCCCTGGAGGTAAGCCAAGAGGCACTTGGGAATGTCTGATGGAAGAATGTTGAAAGAGAAGCCCACCTCTTTTTTCACTGCAGGAATGAGAAAAGTTGAGTTCCTGCTTAGGAGTGTTAATTTAGAAGTTAAGGGATATTATTTTTTTAGAACTAGGGAATCTTCCTGCTAGTGTTCCTAGTGATCATGTTAGCTAGGAGATTCTTAGTCCAAATGAGTAACTTTTCTAAACTCTGCTGCCTCCTGCCAGTGGAAGACTGAAATTCTGTTGCGGAGGTATTGCATGAAAATGTCAGCTTTTTTAAAAATTATAGGTTGCATCTATACAAACTGGTGCCCCTTGGGTCCAATTGAAATAAGCTTCCCTTATATTAATGTCAATAGGAATAAAGTGGGGATATCTAATGAGGATTCAGATAATCTTATCCATGGCGTAAGTCCCGCATTTAGTGTGAAGTCTGGATCCAAATCACAGTTTTTGTTGCTTGTACTTGCAGAAACTTCCATCAGCAAGTACACCTTAACAACTATGCTCTTCGTTTTCTGTGGTATAATCTTCTAAGATGATCTCTCCCACAACATGAGTGTACATTTCCCCCAAAAAACATGTTCTCGGTCACATGCAAATTGAGTGGATTGATTAATGAATTAGAACTTGCGCAGATCCATGAGGATTTATTGACACTGCCTGAGTTGATGTTGATGATTTTGCTTAAAGGTTTGGTGGATAGTAGCTTCAACCTAAAACTTTATTTCATATCAGTTCCAATGAAAATTGGACCAAAATTTGCTCCCAAATGTTTGAGATGTCAATGTACATCAAAATATCAAGTAAGATTATAATCAGTTCATAAAGATGAATTCTAGAGCAAAAAATACTGAAATCCTAACTGGGATGGACAATGAAGTACTCAATGTGGTTGGTTTCTTCTTAACATTTGTCCTTTCTCCTGCTTGTAGCTCCTGAGTGGCTTCAAAGACAAAGAACGCAGCACTATTGCCCAAAGTGTCAAAGGGAAGAAGGTTTGGATTGGAATCAAGAAACTCCTGATGTTGATTGAGATGTCATTACAGGTAAGAGCCATCTGCTTTGGTGAGGCAAACAGCTGGTCTATCCCTTGGCCAGATATTGAGAAAGGGACTGGAAAAATAAAACTGGGTATTCATGTTTAAGTTCTACCTTGGATCAAAAAACTTACCAACAAGTAAGTGCCATAAGGCACTCGTTGGTTTTGATTCCCTCATTTCTAAGGTCTCAAAGTAATTTACAGCATGAATACCTACATAATAAAATGCCAATGACAATAAAACTGAATAAAGCATGTGTTGGGACTGTACCCCTACCTAGTCAAAGATTAAAAGTAATTAAAACTACTAACACTGTGACAGAACTCATCTTCCATCTTAAGAAGCTTGACTGGAAACATTTGGTCTTTACGAGTTGGATCAAAGTCAGACAGAGGATGACAGCCTCAGCTCAACGATGGGCCAAATTTGCCATCTGGCTATATTTTGGAATAGTGTCTGGAGGGCTTCTTGCTCGTGCTACTGCCTTGTTGTAGTATTTTGAGATCTGGTAATGCTGCACTGGGAGATGGTGGCGGGGTATAAATAAAGTTTATATTATTATTATTATTATTATTATTATTATTATTATTATTATTATTATTATTATTATTCTGCCAAACAAAATGAAAACATGCCTTTCAATCTATTTTCTTCTGCCTCACAATATGGAGCCAAGTGCCATTGGCTCTGGTGCTATACACTTGGGTTGGTAAAATGTACACACTTGCTTCACTATATGATCAGAACATAAGTTTCTGAATCCGTGTGGGCACTTTTTCCTAATAAGTCAGTCCTGAAGTTTATCCCACTAAAGGTATTTCACAAGATCCGAACAGACAGATAACAGTTCACTTTGCAAAATCATTTGCACATCTGTTTAATCACATTAAGCTATTTCACGTTGAAGGAGAGCAGTTTGATGAAACCAGTTACGCAGTTCTTTCAATCTGAGTTTGGGGAATAAAGTACAGGCAAAAGTCATAATTGATAAGGGTTATATACCAGTGATTATACTAGCCGTGATAGTGGAGTACAATGTTTCACATACAGAGGCAGCCATGTTCTTCAGGCAAAATATAACTATAAGAAAAGATTGCTATATTAGATGTTCTGAAAGTGCCGGTGGAAAAGGAAATCCCTGCTATATTCAATCAGTGATCAAAATAACAACTCCCATTGTTATTTCCAGTCATTGATACTGGTTCTGCTTTTCTGTTCTCCATTAGGTTGGATAACACAGGTCAGGGAAACCAGATTCTTTGTGGACTAGAGGTTCCTTGCTTTGCTCTACTGTCTCTTATGCAATCCTCACTGAAGCTAAGCACCTTCTGAATTAACTTTGTTGAGGTTTTCAGGAGATGCTTTGCTAGTGGATGATGCCCTTCATCATTAGGACGTGGCACTTCTACCCAGCCCCCAACCTCATATCATCTGTGTCTGGTGCAGCTAAATGAAGACTTGCATCTTTCTAGGACAAGCTTTTAAGCATAATCCAAGAGGCATGCAGTTTGTCAATGTGTTAAACACTTCCCCGCTCCCTCCCATTTGACTCGCTCATTGCAATTCTGTTGAAACTTGTATAGGGCTGTGGATCTGCTCTGACTGGATGTCACCTGAGGGTACAAAGTCATTTATCTAGATTACTTTTTTCCTCTCTTTCCCTTGACTCTTTAATTCCATACCTACGGGCAAAAAAGTCAGTAAGTTATTGCTCACACCTATTAAAGTGTATATAATGGGCAGAGACCTGTAAGGTTTGACTCTCTCCCAGTTATGGCCAATTGTATTATTTTTGCCTTATAATGGGCCCTCTTGGATTGGTATCCAATCATGTGTAGAAAAAACAGTTTGTATTGGGAGAATAGGGGTGGGTTTGACCCTGGGATATTGAATTCCTGGGATTCAATGTTCCAGAAGTGAGGGAGGAGACAATAGAAGAAAAGTCATAGAAAGAAATTGAAGAATAGATTGAGGGAAGTTTTGGAAGCAGGAGGTGGATTAATTGTATGGGTTAAGTTCTATCTTTTCACTTTCGTGCCTTGTCACCCCAGAAGTCTATATGGTTCAGAATCTCAATGTATTGGACTGTGATTACCACATGTTTTCCTGGTTTGTGCAGAGGTTCAAAGAATGTTTGTCTCTGCATAGATATCATTTCCTTTTGGCAGTTATCTCTCATAGCATGAGTTGCAGTAGATCCAATCAGGTCTGGTGGCTAGTTTGTTGACTAGAATTGAGGAGGCCAATTTTAAGCCAGTCAACTATAGCGTTCACTAGGTAATGGTAATGCCAATCACTCTCTCCCAGAGAGACTTAACTCACAGGGAGATTGTAAATATAAATGAAGAGGACATAGATACTCATTGAGCTCCTTGCAGAAAAGGTGAGATAGAAGTGCATCAAACAAGAAATCATTTTGTGTGTGTGCCCCTTCTGACTCTCCTTTTATAATATAATAATAATAACTTTATTTTTATACTCTGCTACCATCTCCCCGAGGAGACTTGGGGCGGCTTACATGAGGGACCAAGACCAGAGCAAACAACGGAATTTATCAACTAAAACACAGTTTAAAACATAATAAACATATCACAATCTAATTGAACAATTAGAAACAGCAGAGTATTAAAACATCATTGAAATATATCAAAACAAACTTCAACAATCAATCAATAACCAGGAGTATAATGGACATGATCAGAATTAGAGAGGCTGGGCATGGACTTGTGCAAAAAGCAGACTGTTTCGTTCTTGCCCTTCAGTAAATTTGCTGTGAGTAAGCAGAGAATTTATAAATTTTTGTGTATTTCCCTCCCCAAAAGATGGATCCTGAGTATCGAGTGAGAAAATTCCTGGCACTTCTAAGAGAAGAAGGAGCGTAAGTAACAGTAAGAGTATCTGACAGGGGTGTGTCCATTTATTCTTGCTGAAAGCTACATGCTTGCTTTAATAGTTTTCCGCTTGCCACTGGCCCAAGTAGTTTGGCAAAAGTCCTTTCTGTAAATCTAGATTTACAAAAAAGGCTTATCTCATTCGTTGGTGGCTGTTAAGTTGTTCCCAAATTAGCTTGCTGTGGTAGTTCATTTATTTCTTGTTGCAGTGACCCATTTGTTAGCTATTTATATTGCTGGCCCTGTTTATGCCCCATTTGTTAGCTATTGATATTGCTGACGCTGAGAGTGTGTTTACGTGTATGCATAAGTGCATGTTAGAGTTCTAGGGGATAAGTGTTTCATATCTGAAACTTGCATGGAAGATGCATTTTCTGACCCCATCTTATCCGCACATGTTTCAACTCAGCCATGGGGGAAAGAATAATTATTTAGCTGTTATGTGTATACTAAAGAGATAACCCCAACTAACTCATCCAGGTCATTAATCTGGGTTCTGTCACCAATGAGCATATGCTAAGAAATATAGGACAGTCTCTCCTGGTCTGTCTTGTCAAATTACAAGTATGAAGTATTTGCTCAGACTCTTCAAACATAGAAATCAAGCACATTCACCACAAATCTAGACTAAATACTTTCTGCATGGCATGCTAGTTTTTCATAGAGAGAGTTTATGTTGAAGGAAGATTTGGTGTCAGCAATCAGGTGGCAGACCATTTTACAAATTCACGTTCCCTCTCCTTCCCCTACAATATTTTTGATCATTTTGGGGTTTGAGATAATTTCTCTTATAGTTACACAAATCCAGTTAAAGAATTTTGAGTTGATGATACTGTAGATGTTATTCAACAAAAAAAAAATATTACATTTAATTAAATTATCTTCAGAGTGGGAACAGTAGTATTTGGAAAAGGTACTCACAAGTTCTAGGAGAGAATTGTATGCTCTTAACATAAAATACTATTTCATACATGTAGGCTTGGGAATGACATGCAAATGACCCTGTCTATTCTAATGCTTGAGTAAATGTGTAAAAAGATGTAAGGATATCTGTTTTTGGCTTTTACACATCCCCCCCCCTCGCCTGTCTTGATTCAGAGTGAGAGTCAAGCCCTCTTTCTTTTGCAGCTTATGCGATTAATGCCTGGTGCACAACTGGCTATTGAATTTGCATGCACTTGCCCTCTCTGGATTCCCATCTGTGTATGCTGCCAGCGTCCATACCGTACCCTCGGTCCTCCCCAAGATACATTCGCCCCTTGTGGAAGTTGCACTCTCTCTCTTTGCAGTAGCCCACTGGATTTATAATGAAGTCAGAGTCATCTTCGGACGCCACTGGCTGGAAAAGCAACCATGCAGGAGGCCACCCCACTGGAACCATCATCTCTCTTTCATGTGGTGCATCCGGACAAGAGCATAACATCCAGAGACTCCCCCATCTCTCCTTTTTGCATGTTGGACACAACCAAATGCTCCACCCTTTGTTATCTGTTGTCTTCAGTATCCTGATGTTTTGTGGCAAATCATATCTCTTCAAATGTAATTGCTTTTGTACTGTGCTGCTTGCTGCACCTGTTCAATCGGTGTTGGTGCACAAAGAGGAGGAATGGAAATTTGCCAAGTACAGGTCTGTAGATGTTAATGCTGACACTCAGATTAGCTCCTTCTGAATAGGGAAGTCTTTTCTCATTCCTAACTTGCAGCACTCCAATGTGAAAGATGATTAAAGTTTGCAGAGTTCTAAACGCACTTTATACCCAGTGGCTCCCCCAACTTCTTCCACATCTCGTTGCATAGCTGCTCCTTTCTTATAGACCTGTACCACATTGTGGAGCTCCTTAGACTTAACAGTAGCTCTAGAATTAAATGCAATCACTTGTTTCGTATGAACTAGGATCAGAGAATATGTTCTGACTAGATTTTCCTTTAAAAAGATAAGACTATCATAGCAGTAACTTTGGAGGCTCAATAACATCTACAGTGGCTGCATCTAGTATCTCCAGGGTTGTTTTCCTACCAGTTACAACAGCAGTAATGGGGTTCTGGTGTAATTATGGTTTTGGTCTAAAATATAATATAGTTGTACCTATAGAAGCAGAGTTCATGAGATTCCTCTAAAGCTTTAGGCGGGGAGGGGTATCCTACATTTTATAATAGTGGTTGTTATTTGTTGGAGTCATATCTGATCTCTTCTAAGGGAAGGTTACACATGTTTATTTGGACAACTCAGGTTCTCCAGATGTTGTTAGACTGCAAATCACCATGGCACTTGAGAGCATAGCCAGTGGAGGAGAATCATGCAATTAAAACACCTGAAAAGCCTCAGTTGCCCATCCTTGAATTAGAAACATGCAGCTTCTACAGTTTGTAGGTGCAGGTAATGCCATTCCTCTGGCAAGTGAAATGTCTGCACTGTTAGCATTTCTTTAATCAAGAGCAATGTATTGCATGGCTCTGAATACAAGTGGCTGGATCAATCTGTCAGTTTGATGATGTCCTTTATTACTGGCATGGCTCCTCCTCTCTAAGCTGCATAAATTGAGAAGATGAAAATAACATGTGATTTCCTCCAAACCTTTGCGGCAGAAGTTCTGTTTGGAGCTGCTACAGTGTACTTGAATCACAACTGATAATATTTATTTTAATGTGGGTTAGCCTGTTTTTTTTAAAGAAATGCCTTTGGTTTTTTTCTTTTAATGTTGAAAATTATGTGAATCCCTGGCGGACCTATAAGATCCCTTCTTTTTTTTAGGTTGTGTGATTGGGCTGCTTCCACCTGCACCCTTCTCTCCACCACCAACCTTGCAAACCACAACCCCTTTTCTTTTTTTCCTTATCTTTCAGTGAAAGCAACACACACACACACATTGTATTAAATGTAATGTCTTGGAGGAAATGATGTAAACATTTTTATTGTGTTTTTTGTCCAAAGCTATATTGAGAGAGAAAAATACAAATATATATATATATGTAAACAGTTATATATATATGTTGATTTACTGACTGAATGAGTGAGTGTATGGTTATAATGCAGATGAACTGATGCAATAAAAAATCACCGATACAGAACATATATTGATGCCTTATGAAGTGAGGGGGCTGATAAACACCTTTCTTGGAATTCTGTGGCACTAAAAGTTCAACTAGCGCACTACAGTGTGCAATTTCATAAACAAAACCCTCCTTCAGCTGAGACCTGGGTTGAGAAACCTGTGTCAGGGGGATATGTATGGACTGCGGTAAACCTGATTAAGGAGATGAGAATTCACAAGATCTGTTTTGCATTGAGACCCATGTGAAGATGTATTCCATTCCAGGTGAATATAGATGCCCCAACATGTTAATGTTAAATGTGGGAACAGCAGGGGTGGGGAGGACTGAGTGGAGGGACACCACAAGCATTTTTAAGGTGAAGGAGAAGACCTCAATGCTGTCGAGTGGTTGTTTTGCCTACTTGGTAGCACTTTCAGGGGGGTGACGAATTGCTATTCCTAAATAGCATGAAAAATTGTTTAATATGAAGGCTAAGAAGCATAAAGTCTATTTGAAATCTCCCCCATATGTTCTATGTTGTTCCCTCCCAAGTGAGTGTGCTTAGTATATATTGCAAACAGTCTTTATTAAGTTTCTGGGAAGGCTCAGTGTCAATCATTTACTTAATCTTTCTTATTTGTAGATCAAATTAATTGCTTCTAATTAGTTCCAATTTTGCCAAATATTTTCTGGGGTTTGTATGTATGCTCAACAGTCAAAGCTTGAGGTCGCCTCCCCCCCCCCCCCCCCCCCCAGTTCCTCTGCTTGTTTCCTTTGAGGGGAAGACTAGTAGTGTGGATTGTATACCACAGAACCTTGTATGTTTTCTGCAGAAAGATGCCGAATTGTGCTTTAAATGAACTTGGAATACCACCAGAATGAAACTTCTGTGATTTTTAGTGTTAGAAAAAAATGCGGAGATGATCCTGAATTCCATTCAGATCCTGAGTATGATTTGCCTCTGCTAAACCTTGTGAACACCAAGCCCATTTCTTGAGCTTGTTTTCTAACATGCTCAAATAATTATGTTTTTCAATTCAATCAATCTTATTCCACTAACATCTTAGATAAAACAACTGGTGGGACCCACTACCACTTCTATGACTTCAATTGTGACACTATGCAAACATTGAAAAATATACAGTTCTTTTAAGTGCCTTTACCTTTATTGACTTAACAGGACCAAGAGAGGTGAAATATATTTTCTTCAAATATATATATATATTTATATAATATATAATTTTAGTTAACTCAAAGATATATATACATTGTATAATAAATAATTATAAAAAGAACATTTTTGGAATATAACTTTTAAAAACGGTTGAAAATCTACTGCAGATTTTCCCATCCAGTGCTCTCTGTGCAGATGTTTTGTACTAAAGCTCCCATCTTAGTGCCATGCTGGTTGTTACTAATGGGATTTGTAGTCTCAGCATATCTGGAGAGCACCAAGTTGTGGAAGGCTGCTCTACAACTTTGTAAAGAACTTTGGATACAGCAGGTTGGTAGGAGAGGAAGCAAGTGGACTGGGGAGTCTCTTTCCTATGCCCACACACTCGTTTTTGTCTTGGGATATCTGACTTCAGCGAGAATATGAAGGGAAAAAATACAGCAAACTGATAAAAATAGGTGCTGCTTAATATTTTGGGAAACAACCCCCCCCCCTTAGTTTCTAGATACTCATATATTCTAACTAGTGGACTAGTGGATATGGTTTGAAAACAGATTCTCTGTTCTGAAATACCTCTTTTGGAATGCAGCAAACCTGCATGATCTGCATATCAACTGAGTGTAGATGGGACAGCTTGTGGGCTCCAGATATTGAGCTGCTGCTTCTAGAAATGAATCCCAAATCTTGGGACTGCAAGTTGCCCAACTCAGAATTACAGGCATATAATACATCTACACCAGCACCTTCCATTTGTGTATAACATGCAGAATGTCTTAAACACAATTAAAAGGATCTGGAGTTTGTCAAGTGATTGACAGTATGTTTCATCCCACCATTGTCCACTTTAGAATATATTTTCTCTTGAGCAGAGACTACTCTTAATTCCTCTTACTGCTAAAAAAAGTTTCCTCTTGTTAGGAACAGCTGATTAATTGTAATTAACAATACTGTCCTGTTGCTCAATTTGCGTTAATAAGGTAGGAAAAGCAGAAGGTAATTTATTTGAGAAAAAAATCAGAATTCTCCATGGTGCACATTTACCATAGCAGTTACCATGTTTACAGCCACACAAGTTTCTCTTAATCATGGACAGGCCTGTGTTGAGTAGATAATATGTTTAAATACACATACTGCTTTGCTTTTAGCTGACACTGAATGCTTAAGCATTATGACATAGGTAACAATACACTCAATAGCACTGCGAAAATGGATCTGAGGTAATGTGGATGACAAACTTAAGAGTGTCTTGTTAATGGGACATGATGCTGAGAAGGATGATTTAAGGTTAGGTTAACCAAGGATTGTTGCATCCAAGAACTGAAGGTCCTTGACTACAGTACTCCAGTGATAAACATGACCACTGACAAATTTGTAAAGAAAAAGCTGAAAATGGTCAAGGGTCTAGAATCGCTCTGAAGAAAAGAACTTTTTTTTAGTTTGTTCAATACAGATTATAGAGAAGCAGGCACAATTGCTACTCTTAAATACTTAAAAGTATTTCTTTTTGAGCCACTATCAACTGAGTGGGTCTAAATGTTCAACGTGGTATTACCAAATGTAAAGGAAGCAGAAGATAGGCAGACTGGACACCAACCAAACAAGGATGTTTCCTGATGGATGGCTTCAAGTGCCACTGGCTAAAAGATATTCTACAACGTTTCTTCCCTCCCTCTGCCTGCCCCATAAAGGGTTTTTCTTGGCAAGAAAAAAGGTGGGTGACGTAGTGAGAAAACATGGGAGAATTATAAGGGTGTCATCTAGAGTTGCGGTAGTGTCCCTTATGTGAAATTGGAAAGGAAGAAGTGTTAACACAGTCTGGGGTTAGAACCCCCCCCCCTTGAACTCTGAACAACTTATAGCACTCTGGAGGAAGACCTGGCTGGCTGGCCCCTGTGTTACTGTACAGTGTTACTGTAAAGCGCTGCTTCTTAAATTGTGGGGGTCCCTTTAGCTCAATGTTGGGGGGTCCCAAAAATGTTTTCTGAGGGCCATCTAGTGGCTGTTTTAGACATTTACACAAATTTGTTGTACAGTGTTTACAATGAACTCTGCAGAAGATCCTTCAGCTGTGCTTCACAAAAAGGAAAATTAACCTATTTAGCAAGACTTGCAAGTGATTATTTGTTATCAGTAAATGTTTGATTTTTAATATCGATTTGATATACCTTTATACCCAGGGTCATGCAAGCCTTGCTGTAAAGAAGTGGGGAAATACCAAGGAGAATATTTCCAGTAGCCTTTTCCTTTCTTTCGGCAATGGTGCTTCAATGATCAGGCTTTTAAATTGGGATCATGTTTACCTTGCACTGAACAATCTACTAATAAAACATGTGAAATGCAAGACAGGTATGTATTAGGCTATAACAAAGATATGTCTTTCACCTGTTTGGGCAAACAGCCCTGGAACGGACAAACAAAAACAACTCCAAATCACAATAAATGTCAGTTTTGATCCAAAGTTAAGTCAACCTGCTGGGAAATGCTGCAACATTTTGGCAAGGGCCTGATTTTTTTTTTTACAGCAGCTCCCTCTGCTTATTCTGTTGGGAAGTGCCTGGGTTATAGCAACAAAAATGTATATACACATTGAATAGTGTGTGTGTGCTTGTGTTTTCACTTGGCCAACAAGGGTTGAAAGGTAAGGACAAAGGAAACTGTGTGTTTTACAAGTTCAGAAAAACTGTTTTAAGAAGGATAAGATACTGTCAGTTAATTTCTCCCTCCAACTCCAGAATCAATGCTGCTTACAGGACAAGTCACACTGGTTACATGGATGTGTGTTTGGGAGTGGAGGGAATATAAGTCTTTAGGTTCATACATTAAGTTATTCATGAAACAACTGCACGTCAGACCTTCAGCATGTAAAATCACCTGCCATCATCAGGGGCACTTTGTTTCCCTTCACATTTCTTAAAACTTGGCTCTTAATCATCTGCATTGTGTACATCAGTAGCTGCAGTGAACAGTTACTGTGAGCTTCTGTCAGTGTTGCTACAGCCTTGCTTTTTTCCTATGGTTTTAAATATAGATATAGATATATATTATATTTTGATATGTGCAAGAAAAAAAAAGATTGGGAAGACCACCTCCGGAAGTGTGTGGCCAGAAGTCAGCAGCCATGCTCTGCCTGTTTGACAGGAAAGAAGGAGTATGTTGGCAGGGCTGGCAGAGGATCCAGCAAAATCATGGAGAGTTGGTTTCCAGGTAGATTCTTCCTCCACCAGTATCTGCCTTGGTTCCAAACGGGGCATGGAACAGGCCAGGAAGAATTTGCTTCTTCTCTGCTTTCAGGAGTCAGGGGCTGCAACTGTGAGATTTCCTGGCAGTCTCTCTTTCATGTTCTGCTACAGCTGAACCATGGGACTCTTGCCAGGAAAGAGAAATAAACAAAGAAACAAGAGTATAATCACATCATAGTCATTATATATGCTCTGTAGAAGCCCTGTCTTAAAGAAGAAAAGCCAACACCTCTTGTTTGCTTCCAGTTGAAGTTCAGGTGTATGGGAAGATTTTAGTTCCTACACCTGCTAAAGTTGTCGACTCCAAAGAGTGCATTTTGTGTGTTGAAAGCATTTCTCATACATGAATATTACAAGAACGACACAAGCCATTCATGTGTTAGCTCCTTATTGCTGCCCATACTGAATGCCACTATTACCATACCTCCTCCTTTGCCTCTCAGATCTCGCTCCTGAAGAATGCAGTGAAGCGGGGCAGGTGTGCATGTGCGAGATCTGAGAGGCAGAGAAGGAGGTACAGTAATAGGAAAATTACCATATTGAAATCAAATCTGATGCTTTTAAAAAAATTTATTTGGTGTGTGTTGGAAGAAGGGGTAGTCTTATACGGTGAGTATATCCCAAACTCTATATTTTAACTGGAAAAGTTGGGGGTCGTCTTATACGCCCAGCTGTCTTATATGCCGGAAAATACGGGCAATTCAGTTTGACACCACTTTAACTGCAATAGCTCCATGCTATGTAACCATGGGAGTTAAATTGTAGTTTAGTGAGGCAACAGCATTCTTTGGTGGAAAGGGCTAAAGATCTTGTAAAATTACAATTGTCATAATTCCATAGCATTGAACCATGCCATTTAAAGTGGTGTCCAACTGCATCAATTTGCCAATGCAGATGCAACTTAAGTCTCACATGAGTGGTATTCCAACTACATCTAAACCATTTCCCCCAGCATACATACAAACATACATACATGATGTGTGATCCATGGAATGTTGTAAGCAAATTACTGCACTACCTCCCCCCACCCTCAATCCTCAAAAACAAACTATTTTGTATCTGGCCCTGATTAGTGGAAGTTAGGTTTCTTGTAAAAAAAAACCAAACAAAACAAAGCCAGACCAACGAGTCTGAAACTAGCCTATTCCAGCCAATACAATTACTGTGGTGATCAAATCTGAAGCAGGAATTTCCTAGTTTATGTTCCACAGTCATCAGATTGTACAGGGCCTTTTTTCCCACTTCACTTCTGTTCCTTCACCCCACACCTACCTTTCTGTTTACTTGCAGGTGTGCACATCATAAACCCGGATGCACTCCTGGCAACTAACATAGCAGCACCAGTGGAAGATGCAGTGGCACTTCTCTTTCCTCTTCTCTGTCCTGGTGTTGTGGCCACGGCCGCAGCAGAGCAAATCGCACCCGTCGATCCCGTGCGAAGTCACGTTGCACATTCTGTCCCTGGTGCCAAATGAGCCAGTCTCAGGGTTGGGTTCACAGAAGTTGGGCGAGTTCTCATAATAGACCAAGTCGCGCTCAGTTGGCGGCTTGAAAAGGGCATACTTGGCACGCAATGTCTCCACCCACCCACGGGATTCCCGGTGTTTCTCCACCACCATCTCAGAAGCACTGTCATACTTGTCCTTCAAGTAGTCACCAATGGCCCGGAAATCCGGCTGGGCCCACCAGCAAGTTTTAACCTCACAGCTGCCAGAGAGGCCATGACACTTGCATTTCAAGTGCATGTGGTCCAAGATAGTCTAGTCAAGATAAAACAAAAACACATCAAGTTAGTGTGGATACATTTAGAGAAGCATCCTACAGTCAAGGGTTTTTCCTATCTGGTCTCCATTGGGATCATTTCACTTTCCTTACAGCCTTACTTACTTACACTTTAGGTATGAAGAGAAGGCTTGTAAAAAGCAGACAAAACCTCATAATGACTGCCAAACATTAGCCACTCAAAGCATCCAAAGCAAAGGCTTGAAAAGGAATAATCACTTTTGGGGGACTACAGTACATCACTTCCCAGTATGGCCAGCGAGAATACCAGCCAAGAGAATCTGGCAGTTGTAGTCCAAAAAGCAACCTTTTCAACTTGATTCTGAGCCCATCAGAAGCTTGGAGAAAAAATAGTTTGCAGCTAAGTGGTGTCAAAAACAGAGTCAAAGGCAAACGTGGAGCTTGAGTTTCATTTTCACTGCATTTCTAAGTACACTTAACATTTTGGGCCAATCTGAGGTGTTAGAAAAAATTGAGCTCCTTGGAAATAACATTTCAGATCTGTGGTGTAAAGCTCACACTTCAGTGGGCAAAATGTGAAAATATTATTTTGTAAAATATATTTATATCAGTTTTCCATCTAAAAAAAGTGTACAGATTTGATATCAATGGTTTCACTTGCCCACACTCAAAAGGATAAGGAGCTCTTACTGTAATTCCACCACCACCAGTATTCAAATTTGGGCATTTTGGGTATTTGTCCCAAATTTAGTCCAGTGACCACATCCTGCATATCAGATATTTACATTGCCATTCACAACTGTAGCAAGGTTACAGTTATGAACTAGCAATGAAAATAATGTTATGGTTGGGGGTCATCACAATATGAGAAACTGTATTAAAGGGTTGCTGCATAAGGAAGATTGAGAACAAGTGTTCTAGATTACATGTGTCGAACTCAAGGCTTGCAAGCCAAGTTCTGGCCATAATGTCATTTTATGTCATTTTATGTGGCCCTTCAGATGCTGGACTGCGACTCCTATATTCTTCATGACTAGTTGTGATACAGTAACATCTGGAAGGCTGCAGTTTGTTCTGTTTAGTCAGGATAGTGTAGTAGGACAGTTTTAAATGGTGTATCTTAATATTTTGATAAATATTTTCAATGTTTATGTATGTGTGTATGAATTTGTGTCCCGGCACTGAATGTTTGCCGTATATATGCTGTGCACCGCCCTGAGTCCCCTTCGGGGTGAGAAGGACGGAATATAAATKTTTTAAACAAACAAACAAACAAACAAACAAATAAATAATTATTTGGGAAGGAAGCAATGAGAAGAAAGAAACCTTTTACTATCATTCAACCTTCCTTGGAAAGCTTCTCTCCCCACTCATTTCTAATTATTTCTCCTACAGCAAAATTACCATAAACTGATTTAGAATAAAATAGGACAATTGAGATGTAGGACTTCATCCCTCATTCTGCTCCCCCCCCCCCAATTATCCATTTGCCTTCCCATCACATGGGAGACATATTTCTCCTCCATTGTCTCCTCCTCCATTTTCTTTTGATAGAAAAAATCTTCTTTATTTTTTTTTCTTGCAGAAGTACTTTTTAATGCAAGATCACATTTAAAATGATCTAAATTACCATACTTTCTCCTTGGTCCCAAAAAGATAATGGTGGAAGAAAGGAATCTATATTGCCCATCTCAGCTCCTCCCTCCAGAATGTTATGTTTAAAAACGAGCAATGGGGAATTCCCATCACATGTGAAATTTGACATTTTTACCCGTCTCTACACAGGGAATTTAAAATGAAGTCAATTAGCAATCAACTTAGGAGTCATTGGGGAAAAACACACTTTAGAAATGGTAAAATAGTTGAAACCCGTGGTATGAGGTTGCAGCGTGTGATAAGCTCTGTCGGTAGCAGTTTCTTAAATATGTAAAAACGCTGATTTTATTGCGTGTGATGAATATCCTGTTTTGCTTTAAAACATGTCAACAAGGAGTTTGCTATTTAATTTAGTTCTTAGCATTTAGAACTACATGCATTGAAGATATAGTCAAACATAGTGCTCTCCTATTTGGTGCATTTACCCAGTGTTTTGGACTACAAATTCCATCAGTCCTTGTCAGCATAGGCTAATGGAATTTAATGTCCAAAATATCTAGAGATTAGTAGGTTGTTGTCTAAGATAAAATGGTAGCTCCTTCAATATACAGGCATCAGTTCTTTTGTTGAGATTTTCACCTCATCCAGAACTCACCCCTTCACTTTTGGTAAATCCAGGGTAATTTTGCTTCAATGACTGGGCTACTTCTTTAGCAAAATTAACGGGTGTATGTCTACCTTCTGGCTCCAAACCATGGAGCTTACCATTTCCTTTTAAGAACTAGGCAAGACTATATCAAAGCTTGGTAAGCACTTGCTATAGCTGTCTCCTCTGCTCCTTGAATATAGTGATGGGTAGGTTGGTGGGTCACTGAATGGCATGTCATGAGTGGATAGAACCAATAAGCAGAAGGGGGAAACTACTTGGCTTCTATTAGCTTTAGTTCTTTGGCCTGGGACAACTGTTTGGAGTTTCCTTTCTTGTAGTGATTCCACCAAGACAAGTGAGGGGGGATTATTAGCCTGTGTTTTTCTAGAAGATAAAGAAATGGACCACTCACTGTTCTTCCAGCTTCATTATTGTGCCTGTTCATGGCTGACCGTGCATCAGGGCGATTTTCTCGGGCATCTGCAAATTCTCGTGAAACCAGCACTCCAAAGTCAGCATCCTCACTGCAGCCACCCCATTTCCATCCTTCGCCTGGTGGACCTTTGTGGTGTGAGTCACAGCCACAGATGGTAGAAGTACCTTCGGCACAGGAGCGTGTGACAGCAAATGCCACGCCTGCTGATGCAATGGCATGAACAAAAGCAGATTCTCGTGTGGCTGCAAGTAAAAGGGGAGACAGAAAAATCCCAATCATTTAGCTAGCAGCAAAATAACCTCTGCCCCTTCTTTCTCTGCCATTTAAGTAGTTATTGCTCTGCTCTTTGAAAAAACAAGCCGACTGTTTTAAGGGCCCGGTTTTATTCCATTATGGGGTTTTTTAAGTCAAAGGCAACTATATGCCTCTGTCTATCATATATGGATGCTGATAGCACATAAGCATTTCTTTTTTTAAGTAATTTGTCGCACGTCACAAGTACTGACTGATATGATTTATTAGTAATGTAATTTTACTGATATGATTTATTAGTAATGTAGTTTACTAATAAATTACATTATTAATTAATAATAAAAAATAAATAAGTAATGTAATTTTACTGATATGATTTATTAATAATTAATTTTACTGATATGATTTATTAGTAACTAGCTGTCCCCTGCCACACGTTCCTGTGGCCCACATAGGGGTTCTGTGTGGGAGGTTTGGCCCAATTCTATCATTGGTGGGGTTCAGAATGCTCTTTGACTGTAGGTGAACTATAACTCCCAGCAACTACAACTCCCAAATGTCAAGATTCTATTTCCCCCAATCCCCACCAGTGTTCACATTTGGGCATATTAAGTATTCTTGTAGAGTTTGGTCCAGATCCATCATTATTTGAGTCCACAGTCATCTTTGGATGTAGGTGAATTACAACTCCAAAACCAAAGGACACTGCCCACCAAACCCTTCCACTATTTTATGTTGGTCATGGGAGAACTGTGTGCCAAGTTTGGTACAATTCCATCATTGGTGGGGTTCAGAATGTTCTTTGATTGTAGGTGAACTATAAATCCCAGCAACTACAACTCCCAAATGGCAAAATCATTTTTTTTAGTGAAGGACATACATTGGGTTGTTAGGTGTCCAAATTTGTCTTGTGTCCAAATTTGGTGTTAATTTGTCCAGTGGTTTTTGAGTTCTGTTAATACCACAAACGAACATTACATTTTTATTTATATAGATGTAATTTTTATAAACACTTACTTAATTTTAAAATAACTTAAAATGTTGTTTAAAGGCTCACAATGATTCAAAAATCAAAGATTACAGAATGCTCCCTGTATCTGCAATGGATACATTCCCAGACTTTGCGTGGATACAGAAAACTGTGGAGAATATCAAATACTATTGAAATTATGGACTTTTGGTCAAGAATATCAAAATGTTATAGTGAAAGACCTAGAAAATGCTAAAGAGGACATATTTTGTGAGACATGGCTAAATGGATCTGTGGTCCCTTCCACACAGCCCTGTATCCCAGAATATCAAGGCAGAAAATCCCACAATAACTGCTTTGATCTGGGTTATTGGAGTCCACACTCAAATAATGTGGGATTTTCTACCTAGCGCTGTATGGAAGGGTCCATTGAATCTCAGTCCCATATATACAGACCATACTATATTTGGTATTAGGTTACTTCCCTGCTGCATCTTCCTTACTTCCAACGCATTACTTCCAAATTCCAAATTAAACATTAATCCTTTAAAAAGGCTGGTTGTTCTGTCCATGTCAACCTTATTGTTTCCATATAGCTTCCTTCCAGTTGCTTTTGGTGGGATCTAATTCTTCTGCCTTTATCTAGTAACTGGATCATTTAATCACTCAAAATGGAGAAACAGGAAAATTAGATTGTATTATCTGCCACCGCTGTATTTTTTATCAAGATTGTGTCTATATTCAGATGTCTCAGTGAACTATGGTTTACTCTGGCAGAGGCCTCTTCCACACAGCTATAAAATACACATTGAACTGGATTATCTGGCATTGTGGACTTAGATAATCCAGTTCAAAGCATATATTGTGGATTATCTGCTTTGATATTCTGGGTTATATGGCTGTGTGGAAAGGCCCAGAAAGGCCCAGAAACAAGCTCTGGTGAGCCTTGGACTTTTGTACTACTCATTCCAACTTCACTTCCAGGATAGGTTTTGCTTCTATTTCGATACACTTGAGCATGACATCCAAAGCTGAACTGGAATCAATTTTAGATATCAAAACTTCTTATTTCAGATTAACTATAATTAAGATTAGCCAGTTAGATGGGTTTAGATGACACAACAAGTCATGGTCAATTTAGAAACTAGAAATACAACCATCATCTTTTTTTTTCTTACCCCACAAGAGAAGATAAGAAGAGTATGCATGAGTTGACTCATGTAGGCTCATTCTCATCATGATATTTATTTATTTATTTATTTATTCCACATATTTCTACCCTGCCTTTCTCAACCCCTGAGGGGGGACTCAGGGCGGCTTACAAAAGGCACAATTCGATGCCTACACAATAATACAGATAAACATATATAAACAGCACTTAAAACAATTATAACAGTTAAAAACAATCAATTATAACTCACAATCAATAAAATCAATCTCATGCTCAACGTTTGCCAACTCAGAGTCCATAAATTCATTCCACCTTGTCCATTCCTATTAGTCGTCGTTGTCCTTTATTTATCTGCCAGATTACCCAAACGCCTGGTCCCAAATCCACATTTTTAATTTCCTTCTAAAGGAAAGGAGGGATGTCGATGATCTAATTTCCCCGGGGAGTGAATTCCACAGGTGAGGGGCCACCACCGAGAAGGCCCTGCTCCTCATCCCCACCAGTCTCACTTGTGATAGAGGCGGGGCCGAGAGCAGGGCCTCCCCAGAAGATCTTAAACTCCGAGGCGGGACGTAGAGGGAGATGCGTTCGGACAGATAAGCTTTATTATCATATCCACTGCAGCCAATATATCCATCTAGTCTGTTATATTAAAGATTGAAGACAACTGCTTTGGGAATTTGTACTGCAAAGCATCCTTGAAGTGACTGGATTGACCTTGAAGGAGCTGGGGTGGTGATGGCCAACAGGGAGCTCTGGCGTGGGCTGGTCCATGAGGTCACGAGGAGTTGGAAACGACTGAATGAACAACAACAACTGCAAAGCAGGATATCATTTAAAGTCATTTCTCTTAGCAAAGACAATGACAAAGCAATATTGCATGTAACATGTGGGGGTGAGCTCCTTGGATGGAGAAAGTTCTTAGCACGTCAAACTAGAAAAGTACACCGCATTTTCCTATAACTGAAAAAAAAGTGCTTCCAACTGCCAAGTAGAAAATGAACATGCCCCTGATGTCATGAAGATGCCAGTCATAGATGCGGGTGAAACATAAGTAGTCAATGCTGCTAGAACATGGCCATACAGTCCAGAAACCACACAACACCCTAGTGATTCTGGCTGTGAAAGCCTTTGACAATACGTTTTAGGAGTGTTGAGGTAGTGTAATCCCCATCTGGGATGCTGTCATGAAACTGATAGCCTAATATATGGAAATGAATGAATGAATGAACAAAGTTGATAAGAACTGTTCCATAATTACTATCTGGGATCCAGGTCAGAAGTTGAAGGAAAACTGGTCTAGAAACGCCCCCTCCAGTTCCGACCCCTACCCCAATCCCTAGATTTCTCTTGTGTCTGAGGAGTCAAGGGGTGGGGGTTGTTGGGATTGCCTCTGAGAAATTTCCCAGTGATCAAACTGAAGTTCCCAGAAGCAATCGGGGAGCCTGGGTGAAAGGGGGGCCAAGCTTGGGTGGATTAGGGGCTCTTGACAGAGCTTCACTGTAATGGTCTCCTATCCAGACCCCGTTACCTGCTGGGACACTCAATTTGCCATTGTTTGGGGAGTGTCACACTGTATTACCCACATAATGTGGAATGTTTCCGCCAGGCCCAGCAGTACCCACGCTGGCATTCCCCACGGCCACCCCTTGGCAACGGGGCCGGCATTCACCCTGCCCTGCCATCCCCCTGCGAGCCCACCAGTCAGGCTCGGAAATCTCTATTGAGACCTCTGGTGCCGGTCCTCCCCTCCTGGGCTCCGAGTGGCAAAAGGGCGTGTGAATGGCGCGGGGGTTGTGAAACCGTTCAAGGTCTGGAACGATATCCCTTGCCCTGATGCACAGTGGGGATTGCAGCTTAGCTCTTTTCTCCTGCATATAAGCTCATTTTCTCTCCCTCCCCACCACCCGCACTGCCTTTAAATCTCTTGCGTTTATATCCCAGTCTCCTCTTTTAATGCAAATTTGTCATCTGTGTCACAGCTAAAAAAAAGAGAGAAAGAAAGAAAGAAGAGGGGGAAAACACTGCTGGGTTATCACAATGCTGTAGGCCATTTTGCTGCCTGCAGAGCCAGCCTTTCATTTTCCTGGAACATAGAGGCCCTGGAGATGGAAGGTTTTGTTCTACCTATTTATTCCGAGGAAATGTGGTCAGTCTCTCTTACCCTGATTTACTTTTATATTTTGCTATGGTTTCTTCAGACCTTTTTAAAACCCAACTCTGATTTATGATTTCCAGCCCCCTCTCCATCCTCCATCCACTTCATCACGTCATTCTTTAGGTTGCGCTTTTTGGAGGGAGATAAACTAGTCTCTGTCTGGGCAATACCTCTGCAGAAGGTAGAAGGGTCCTCATATATTTGAATAATTACCTACTCACCAAATGTCTTATAAAACCTTTGGTTAGAAACCTAAATACCCTCCATATCCATGGCTCCTGTATTATTATTATTATTATTATTATTATTATTATTATTATTATTATTATTTATACCCCGCTAAAATCTCTCGAAGGTCTCGATGCGGCTTACAAAGGCCAAGGCCACCAACAAAACAACAGCATACAAATACAACAGTAAAACTCATAAAGCAAACAACAAAACGTCAAGCAAAGCAATAAAACACTAAAAACAGTGACACCATGATGCATTTAAAACCTAAGGCTGGGCCAAATATAATGGACAAAATTTAAAAAGTGCTGGACATGACAGGTGAAATGTAGAGGTTTTTGGAGGTAGGTGCAATGTGCATACAATCCTAATTCTCTAACAAAGTGCATTTGGGACATGATGCTAGGAGTTTCCTATTCTGGAAAGGCACACTGGAACAGCCAGGTCTTCAGGCTCTTCCTAAAGCCTGCCAACGTTGGGGCTTGTCTGATGTCCTTGGGGGGAGAGTTCCAGAGTCGGGGGGCCACCACAGAGAAAGCCCTGTCCCTCGTCCCCACCAAACGCGCTTTCGACGTAGGTGGGATCGTGGGCAGGGCCTCTCCAGATGATCAAAGGGATCGTGTGGGTTCATATATGGAGATGCGATCACGCAGGTAGGCGGGTCCCAAACCGTTTAGGGCTTTGTAGGTAAGCACCTGCACCTTGAATTGGGACCGGAAGATGAACGGTAGCCAATGGAGCTCCTTAAACAGGAGGGATTCCATGGATTCAGCCACCTGCGCCTTAAAAATGTTCAGAAAACAGAATCCAAAATGGATGTAGGGGACAAGAGATTTTAGTTTTTGATCCAGTGGACCAAGACCACATTTATGTCCATTGGCTACATTTCTTTGCTGGAAGATTACTAGAGACTAGCTACCGATGGCACACGAGTCCCAGAACCACTACTTTGAATATTTTGTTTGAATATTCCTGCTTTGTAATAATTATTCTATTTATTTCTATTTTTTTCTTGTCGTATTTATTTATTTATTTACTATATGTATATCCCACCTTTCTCTACCCCAAAGAGGACTCAAGGCGGCTTACTGATAGGCAATAATTCAATGCCTTAACAACAGTAAAGGTAAAGGTTTTCCCTTGACATTAAGTCCAATCATGTCCGACTCTGAGGGTTGGTGCTCATCTCAATTTCTAAGCCAAAGAGCTGCCGTTGTCCGTAGACACCTCCAAGATCATGTGGCTAGCATGACTGCATGGAGTGCTGTTACCTTCCCGCCGGAGCAGTACCTATTTATCTACTCACATTTGCATGTTTTTGAACTACTAGGTGGGCAGAAGCTGGGGCTGACAGTGGAAGCTCATGCTGCTCCTCGGATTTGAACCTGCGACCTTTCAGTCAACAAGCTTAGCAGCTCAGTGGTTCAACCCACTGCGCCACCAGGGGCTCCATTAACAACAGTACACAATTAAAATAAACATTTAAATTGAAATTAAAATCAAAATTAAAATACATTAAAACATTTTTTAAATATTACAGTCACTATAAAACCATGCTATCCTCAATAATAATCCAGGTCATTCTGGTAGTCTTTGCACATAATTACAGCCCACCTATTGCACTATGGTTCTTCTTTGAAGGCTTGATCCCAGAGCCACATTTTCACTTTCTTTCTGAAGGTCAGGAGGGAGGGGGCTGATCTATCCATTTTTTAGTCTATGTTTAGTGTCTAGAATTTTTGCTATTGTTGTTTGCTATTTTTTCCCCTTGACCCATAAGTTTGATGATTTTGGCTTGTACAACTATGTTAATATCACATAAATTTCTCTTAAACAAATAGATTGCATTTTACAACAATTTATATAACAACTAATTAGTATTAATGTCCAAACTGTACTGCAATGTGTCACGTCTTGTACCTTTATCTAGGACAGGCCCAAAAATGGCCAAGCTGTCATCAATGGTGGTGCAGTTCCAACGCCGTCCACGAAACTGGTGTTGGCATTCCTGGATTCCTAGCTTCACACCTTCAGCCACACTGGGCATGATTTCAATGTAGTTACGGCAGAAACGAAGTTGTTTGGGCACCAATCCAGGAATGGAACCACACAGGATTGGCTGAGACCCCAACGAAGTGTATTGTTGGCCTAATGCAAGGGACCTGGCAAGAGAAAACAGATACAATCCATAGCTGAAGATGCACTGGGACACTTGATATATCCACATTAACAACTAGCAATTACCTTACACACATATTCATAATATGTATGATAAGCCTTGTAGGATTGGCTACCACAACATAAGATGGTTGTTATTGTTACAAGTGGCATTTAAAAGAAGGATAGAGTGAATTCAGAAAGTAGTTATCTGTCTAAGGTGGAATTTGGAAAAATTACTTTTTGGCTTATAGCTCCAAAGTTCACTGAACCAATTCACTCAACAGATTCTGGAAATTATGGCTCAAAACAAAACCACTCAAATTGTGGTCCTGAGCCATCAGTTATCCTTGGAAAGAAAGACAGTTGCAGCCAATGGGCGCGTGTGTATATATATATATATATATATATATATATATATATTCCCAGTCCCTGCAAAATGGGATTAAATGTTTGCCTGTTCTACATATGAGATGGTCTCAGAAGCACAGATGTAAAATAAATAACATTGCGAAGCTCTGGTTTATGGTTGTAGTGATGCTGGTAAATGGAACAGTATCCACATGCAGGTCTATTGGTATCCAAAGACATGGGGGCCAACATGGCGTAGTGGTTTGAATGTTGAATTACAACTTTGGAGCCCTGAGTTTCATTACCCATTTGGCCTTGAAAACCCACTGGGTGACCCTGGGCAAATCACATACTTCCAGTCCTAGAAAACCCTGTGCTAGCTTTACTTAAATGTTGACATAAGTCGGAAATGACTTGAAGGCACACAACAACAACAACAACCCAAAGGCAGTATAGCCATAATTATCAGTATTTGGGATAAACACACACTGCACTTGTGATTCTGGCCATGAAAGTCTTCGACAATACACACTGCATCTGTTTCAGAACATTCAGTGTCATCTGTTTACCTGCTTTTAGAGATAGACTTCTCGTTTGGATCAAACTTTTGTCACATACAGAAGAACCATTCTTTATATTAATGGTGGATTTCAGGGCAGATTAAAGTCTACTTAGTTTATTTTGACCAGGGACCACTTGACCAGGGACCACTCTCCAACATTAGTGCCAAAAGGGCTAGGAATCAGTTTTTGATCAACTTTAGATTTGGTTTGGTTATTTGGGGCACTGATTCAGAAAATTGCATTGGATAGACCACATCAGCTCTAGTTTCTGATACAAAACATATGCCACACAGTAGTCACTATCTGCTAGCCCATGGAAAATCATATTTAATAAGCCTCGGCACTATAAGAGGGTTTTGTTAGATCAGTCGCTCTCATTGCAATGGAATCCACGACATGCGAGTGTGGAGAAGAGCAAACTACGGACCTCCTGCTGCAATGCAACCTGAGCCCTGCCACATGCACAATAGAGGACCTTCTTGCAGCAACGCCAGAGGCATTCCAAGTGGCCAGCTACTGGTCAAAGGACATTTAATCAACTACCAAGCTAGCAAACTTTGTGTTCTGTTTGTTGGTTCTTTGTTAAAAAATGCAATGCAACTGTTTGGTCTGCTCCTGACACGATAAATAAATATAGCAGTGGTGTAGTAACGGTATTTTAGTTCCTGCGGACCACTGGCAGTCCATGGACCACAGTTGGGAACCACTGATTTAAAGGGTGCATCCAGCCTATCTAGTTACGCATTATTTGAGGTCCTTCTATTTTAGTTTTTGTTTTATTCAGATTCTCAGTGTTTAATATTTTATTCATGCTCCATTAACAATGAGAAATATTTATACATTTAAGTGTCCATCTATAAAGCAAATACTTTAAAAATCCAAGACACTTTCAGAAATGTATCCATGCCCCAAATGCATAATGGCTTTCATACGTGTAAGAAATTTCAATTAAAAAGAACGATTCATCCTCTTGAAATGTTTGCTTTCTATAATTAACAGGAAGGGGAAGGGAGGAGAGAAAGGCTAACATATTAAGGGATGAGTATGAGGAGAAGCTGTTACATTTAAGGCCTGAAGAAAGGATTAAGATCTTAAGCCAAATGATAGATATTGAGAACAAGACTGAAATGAACGTGAGAGGTGTTCAAGAAGAGGGTTCACACCATTGTAAGAGAGAATGTCTACTGTTATGTTTCACACATAACATGTATGTTTTATTTTCTACTCTTGATCACTTTAGATGATTTTTTTCAATATGGAAAAGGAACGACTAACTTGTACATTTATACCCGCAATTGGGGAGGACATCGTTTTGATAATCCTGTTTAGTAATCTCTTCAATTTGGAGATGGGGAGCAAACTGGCACTGTTTATCCAGATGATCTAATGAATCACTTGAGAGCTGGTATATATGTTGGACCAAGACTCCAAAGCAGTATTTCTCAACCTGGGGGTCAGGACCCCTGGAGGGGTCGTGTGGGGGTGTCAGAGGGGTCACCAAAGACCATCAGAAAACAGTATTTTCTGTTGGTCATGGGAGTTCTGTGTGGGACGTTTGGCCCAATTCTGTCGTTGGTGGGGTTCAGAGTGCTCTTTGATTGTAGGTGAACTATAAATCCCAGCAACTACAACTCCCAAATGACAAGATCTATTTCCCTCAAACTCTACCAGTGTTCACATTTGGGCATGTTGAGCATTCGTGCCAACTTTGGTCCAGATCCACTGGTGTTTGGATTCACAGTGCTCGCTGGATGTAGGTGAACTACAACTCCCAAACTCAAGGTCAATGCCCACCAAACCCTTCCAGTATTTTCTGTTGGTCATGGGAGTTCTGTGTGTCAAATTTGGTTCAATTCCATCATTGGTGGAGTTCAGAATGTTCTTTGATTGTATGTGAACTATAAATCCCAGCAACTACAGCTCCCAAATGACAAAATCAACCCCCCCCCCTTCAACTCCACCAGTATTCAGTTTTTGGCATATCGGGTATTTGTGCCAAATTTGGTCCAGCGAATGCAAATACATCTTGTGTATCAGATATTGACATTACAATTAATAACAGTAGCAAAATGACAGTTATGTAGTAGCAACGAAAATAATGTTATGGTTGGGGGTCACCACAACATGAGGAACTGTATTCAGGGGTTGCAGCATTCGGAAGGTTGAGAAATTCTGCTCTAAAGAGACCTAGATTTGAAGTTCCACTCAGGCATGGAAATGCACTGGATGACTTTGTGCAAGTCATAGCCTCTCTCAGCCTTAGATGAAGGCAATGGGAAACCTCTACATCTAAGACATGGTAAGGTTGCTATAAGTCAAATTTGAACACAGTTCCGCTGTTCTACCTTCTGAATCACACTGTTGCACACCCACTCATTAAATCTAGGGGAGTGGTGCATGTTGTTAAAACATTAAGCTATTATATCACCCTATTCATTGATGTTCCACACTGAATTTAGACATGGTGTAAAGATCAAAGCAGCAGCTCTTTTTCAGAGTGATTGAGTCTGTCATCCATGATCTTCTCCACTTCAGTGCCTTCTGAGTGTCCTGGGTCATAGTTTTGGGTATCTTGGCAGCACACTCATTTCTGGCTGCTGTGATTACAGAGGGTTTGGCTCTAAGGAACTACAGTTGTATCCTTAGGGTATCTTGGCCACTTGTTATATTTTCTGCGCAAATGTGTTGCCTGAGTCAGGCATGGCACACAAGAGATTTTGGAGTGTCTGCATTAGCTCCCTGCTTTTTCTTCCACGATAAAGTTCTGGTGTTGCCTTCTTATATTGATACTGTTTGTCTTTGGTTTGTTGTTCATTTGTTCAGTGACCTCATAGACTAGCCCATGCCGGAGTTCCCTATTGGCCGTCACCATCCCCAGCTCCTTCAAGGTCAAACCAGTCACTTCAAGGATGCCATCCATCCGTCTTGCCCTTGGTCGGCCCCTCTCCTTTTTCCTTCCATTTTCCCCAGCATCATTGTCTTCTCTAAGCTTTCTTGTCTTCTCATTATGTGGCCAAAGTACTTCATCTTTGCCTCTAATACCCTTCCCTCCAGTGAGAAGTCAGGTTTTATTTCCTGAAGTATGGACTGGTTGGATCTTCTCGCAGTCCAAGGCACTCTCAGAACTTTCCTCCAACATCACAATTCAAAAGCATCTATCTTCCTTCGCTCAGCCTTCCTTATGGTCCAGCTCTCACATCCGTAGGTGACTATGGGGAATACCATTGCTTTAACTATGCAGATCTTTGTTGCCAGTGTGATGTCTCTACTCTTCACTATTTTATCGAGATTGGTCATTGCTCTCCTCCCAAGAAGTAAACATCTTCTGATTTCCTAGCTGCAATCTGCATCTGCAGTAATCTTTGCACCTAGAAATACAAAGTCTTTCACTGCCTCCACGCTTTCTCCCTCTATTTGCCAGTAGATTTTAAAAAATTGATGCTGATTCAGAATGCATCAACTAGTTCCTTACTAAGAACCATTTTTCTTGTTCTCAAAAAGCTGAACTGCTTATCAGCTGGGCTTTGAGCACAACTCAGAGAGTTGGGTTTAACCTTTAAAGTCCCTGCACAGTCTGGAATATGCTATTTCATGTGAATTTTATCTGAACATCAGATCAAGAGCCTTCTTATTAATGGCATTACTAAGAAAGTTGGGTTGAATACAGACTTATGTGGAAGAGGATCGATTGTATTAATCATGAGTACATCAGCATCTAACAGAGTTGGAACAGATGACAGTTTTACCACATAGTGATCCAGGTGAGTAAATTACCAGGGCAAAAAAGTCCTTTGCCATACTTTACTTCCCTAGGCGATCCCTCATTGTAGGATGGTCCTCCAGGGTCAGTGTGCAGTGTGCGGTGGGTCCATAGGTGATTATGGAGCCCTATTCTTGATCTGCATCTTCTCCCGCAGTGAAGGCATTGGTTTCCAAGTGGAAGGCGGTCCTGGTCAAGGTTGGCTTGACGTCCCTTCCTCTTGTCACATTTCTCCTTTTTGCCCTCTATTCATGCCTCTTCAAATTCTACAGCACTGCTGGTCACAGCCGACCTCCACTGGAGTGCTCAAGGGACAGGGCTTTCCAGTTCT